TATTATCGAACTCACGTAAATATATAGTATAGTAAACCATGAGTGTCAATAGTAATGATCCCTCGGAGTGTTCCGGAAATAGCGTGAAGGAGAAAAGTGGTCGACTGTTTTGTAATGCAAGTTTGATTTGCAAGAAAATTTGTTGCCCAATTTCCTTCGTTGTAGATATAAGAGGAGATATTCTACATGAGGTTCAAAAGGATGATCTAGATCATCGGAAGAATTTATTGCAGACTCCAATGTTAAGTGGTTGTGCGAAATTAATTTGATGCAAGTTGTCGAGTCCCTTTTAATCGACAGGGGTGAAGACCACAATCATGTGCAAGTGTGATGCCATGAAGGATAGCATATAGCTCTGAGTAAGTGTTCGAAGCAACCCCGAGAGTGATGTGGACAGCATCCATCATGCGCCCGTAGTGGTCGCGAATGATGCCTCCCGTGCCCAACTGGGATTGCCTCTCGAAGCGCCATCCATGCTTGAATCATCCGGGACTCGGTTTTTCCCAATGTGCGCTATCTTTGGGGGTTGTGTGGCCGGAGTCAAGTGAGAGATTCTCAGTCGCCTGGCAACTTCTGAATCTCCAGTCTAACATTTCTTTTCAGAACATCATAATTGTGAAGAACCTATAAATATTGTTGAACTTTCTAGATACTCTTGCAACCAACATACAATTGTTCACCAACTGCAAAGAAGTTCGATATTGTCTCCACCCTCCGACAACAAGAATATTTTGATGCTAAAGAAATACCTAACCTTTGGATGGCCGAATTAAGGGAGTCATGGTTCAAAAAGTAAGATGCCAAAGAAAAACGAACATAGTCGGAATGGGACATTAAAAAAAGACTGTACTTAATCACAAGTGTTACTCTTGATCACATAGATTCATAATCATCAAAATTGTAAATATCTAAACACCACAAAGGACTCAAAAAAAATAAAATAAAATTATACGATGTGTTTGAATACAAAGACCTACAAAGGCAAGCTTATAACACAAAGTTCAATAAAAAAACCGTATTCCACCCTATTGACATCAATAAAATCACAAAGCTCATAGATTTGCATACACTATCACAAAGTTAATCAACACTAGCACATAGCTAGCTATCCACTCACAAAATATAAATTTTATCACAAAGCTAATTCTGCAAAAAACTACAAAATATAATATACAAAATAACCTAAAGACTCGTAAAGATCTTAACTAAAATGAGTTCATCACACAATATTAAGAACTAAGATATTCACATAGCATTTTGAAACAATCCTAACAATCTCTATAGGAATCCCTTTCGGTAGATATGTGCCCAGATAAAGCAATTTGTTTTGGCCAAGGGGTTTTAAGCCAACATCGGATACCGTAAGTATTCCAAAGAGCTCTTCTGATCCAAAAGGGTAAACGGCCTAAACTTGAGAACGAGATAGTCTCTCGCCGGTAATCAGATTGGTTGGGGTTGAAATTACTAGTACGACGACATATTGAACTAGAAAATTTGCAAAGAAAAATGAACAATTCATACTAGATTTCTTGACTATATATGTGTAAAACAAATTTTACTACCGTTACTTTTGATTTATTTATATATATGCTTAACAAAAAGTAGCAAAAAGATAGAAATAATCCTAGCAATATCTGAAGACAGGGATTCATTTGAAAATAAATCTTAAACAAATTTCAATGCATAAAGTTTGATCCGTCTATGTATTTACTTTTCTATGGATGAGCTCCGGCTTAAAGGCAATGGCGTCATTGTACGTGGCTTGGTCCATATTTCTTTTATCAGGTATGTCATTAAGATTTTTTGGGCCTCAATGTCCCTTGAGGCCGGATTCATACCATGACGGACTTCCCTAGCATAACTTAGGCCAAATAAGCTTAAGATAATGAATAGCTTCAAAGAGTCCCTTTTGAGATGTTGGTAGAGCTGTTAAACAAATCAAGTGGTTTGTGAGCCAAGCTTGGCTCGACTTATTAACAATTCGAGTTGACTCATTTATAAAAATAAACAAACTAAGCTCGAACTAAAAAAAATAATTTTTTTTTATAAATGAGCTCAGCTCGAGCTCGGCTCACGGGTAAGTTGATTGAGCTCACTAATGATAATATATTTATATCATTTTATAAATTAATATAATATATAGTTTTATAACAAAGTTTATAATTATTAATGAAATTTAAATATTTTATTATAATAAATTATGAATAAAATCATATATATTTAATCTATATATTAAAAATATATAAAATATGTATAAAATTTGAGCCAAGCTCGAGTTTGAGCTTTACAAGACAAGTTTGAATTTGAGTCGAGTCAAACTTGAGCCACTATTTCAACTCAAATTCTTAACGAGTAGAGACAAATCTGTACTGCTAAATTAAATTTTAGTTGAGCTCGAACAAAATGTACTCAAATTCGCTCGAATAGTTTAATAGCTCCAAATGTTGGGGTAAGCCCAAAAGTTAATATATTATGCTATTAGAAATAATGGTAAATTTCAACTTGTTGAAATATGACATGTAATAAGATTACAGGCGAACTAGGACTTTTTGGACTAAATGACAAGTTTTGAATGTGTTCTAAAAATGTTACCCATGAATTGGCTTTTCAAATTTTACCCATAATTAAGAAAGAATAAAATAACAAAAAATTTATTGGCCAGATTGTTGCCATCAGAAAGAAAGAAGAATAGGTTTAGGATAAGGGCGTGTTTGTGAAAGCAACTTTTTGGGCTGCGATTTCATCAAAATTTCACCACATAATGCGTCCATCTCTTATCATTTAGAAATTTTGGATTTTTCAATATATCCATACAGCCAAACACTCCCTAAATGATTTCTGTTCATTCTTCTACTTATCATCACTCACACCACTAATCATTAAAACAATACTCCCTCTCTCCTCTGTCCTCGAGTAAATATCCGGGTTTTTTTTTTTTTTTTTCAAGGTATATTAGTATTACTTTATCCGTTTCAAAAATAAATATTCATTTACTTTTTATACATAATTTTAAAAATATTAAATTTATATTGGGATATAGTAGGAATAAAGGTAATAATATTTGTGTAATATATTGTAAGTTGTAAGGGTATTTGTAATGTTAGATATATAATACCGTTTGAATAAAAGGAAATGGATACTTTGTTATGGAACAGATTAAAATGGAAAAATGAATACTTTGTTATGGGACGGAGGGAGTATATTAATATGTAGTAGGAATAAAGTAGAAATAACTAAATTAACCTTATTAGTATTGTTTAATATAACTGTAACGATATTTGTGTAATATATTGTGAGTTGTAAGAGTATTTTTAATATTACGTAGATAATACAATTACTAAAAAATAAAATAAATATTTTGTTATGAGACGGAAAAAAATGAAAAAATAGATAATTTGTTAAGGGATGGAGGAAGTCTTATTAATCGATGTCTCCGGTCTTTCTGTCACATATGATTAGCCTAGTGTCACTTGTCATATCGATCGAGAATTTAATATGATCGAGAATTTAAGTATGTTTTCCTATATATATACAAAATATATACACTTTTCACTAATATCAGATAATTCTTATTATATACTCATTATTTTTTCCTTTCTAGTCTCAATTTAAAATACTACTTTTACTATTTTATTTGTCTTATTTTAAAGTATTTATTTTCTATTTTAGAAGATTAATTATACATTAATATTAAAATATTTTTAACTTTTATTTAAATTAAAATATATCATTACATTTACAATTATTTTGTATATAAAGTCAATTGCAAAAATATCATAACTCTTACATACTTACATTAACTAATAAAATACTATTACTCACTCCGTCCCAAAACAATAGTCTCATCTTGTCATTTTCGTCCGTTCCAAAAGAATAATTTTATTTCTATTTTTTTTTAACTAACTTTCCATTTTTTTTATAATAATTAAATCCCATTTTCCAAAACGATAATTTCCTTATTATTTTGGGATAAAATCCCAAAATAGGAAGTATATCTTAACCTACTACATTTGATTTGGGAATAGTATTTATACTGTTATACTTATTTACATATATATGATTTATTCTATAGCATTAATAAATATTTATTATTATTATTATATTTTGTATTTAAATGTTGTGCTACCCATAAAAGAAATTCTCAATCCGCCTATGCATATAAACATACTGTTCATAATAGAGTTAGTACAATATATATGCAAACATACCTTCAACACATCATATATATACATATATATATATTCAATTTCATAATATTGTTTGAAATGGATGAATTAATTTTATGAGTTTTAAATTTTTATATTGACATTTGTTTTGTTAGAGAAACAAATAATTACCTGTAGTGATGTCATTATTATTATTAGTAGTAGTCTTGCATTTAAAAAAATTGCAAAAGGCAATTCTTCTATATATTAATTTTTTTTTAAAAAAATAGATTTTTTGTTTTTGAAAAAAAAAAGTATTTCATCACACTCTTTATGTAATTTTTCTTTCAAAAAATACTACGACCGCTATCATCAAAATTTGTGTTCATTTTCTTTGTATTTTACAAAGAAATTAAGTACATATTTGGATGACAAAAATAGGAATACTAGTTAGTGAATTATAAAATAATATTTTATTAGTCGGTGAAAATATGTAAAATAATTTTAATATTTTTTACCTTTATAAGTGCAAAAGATATAAATATATTTTATTTTTTTCAAAAAATTAAGAATTATGTTGCTCTCAGTATAATATATTATATATATATATTTATTTTAAAATAATGAAATTGAAAAATACATATTCAGTTGATACGGAAGAATTCAAATGAAACCTTTCTCATTATGTTGAGGACATGTATTATTTAGGGTTTTTTTTATAAATGGTGCATAAAATATTTAGTAAGTACATTTATATTTAAATAATTACCGTAATTTAATGTGAGTTTTCAATAATTAATAATTGATAGGAAAAAAGAAATTTTTTCATACTAATAATAGTAATCATACTAACAATAGTAATAATTATTGCTTAATTCATACTTATCCTCATACATTGTTGAATCTCCTTATCAATGGAAAACTATCAATCCCGAATAGAAAGACGACAGACACACATATCATATCTTCATATATGATCAAATTAACAAATGGCTGCCACGTGTCCCTTATCTGAGGAAAAGCACCATTGGAGAAGAAGAAGAAGAAAAGAAGGAATAGAAGAAAACCACAACAAACAGACCACAACGACGCGAAAGAACACTAACAATGGAGGTTGAAATCGAAACGACATCAGGCAGTGCACAAAACGACAATTAGTCCCAGACGAGGCCGGGGCGCTTGTGCGCGATGAAACTGATGATCTGCACCTGGCGCTTCGGATCGAATCCGATGATCCTCACGCAGGCCTGAGGGTGGTAGGCCACCGCCTCGTCCAGCTCCTGCAACACCTGCACGGCGTCGGTGCACCCGAACATCGGCAGCTTCCACATGGTCCAGTACCGTCCGTCGTAGTACCCTGGAGATCTGTGGTTCTCACGGTAGGGGAAGGCCGGCTGCATTCAATTTCAATTTTGAGTTAGTTAAGGTGTTTGAACTTTGAACCAGAAACCCTAATTAGGGTTTGCCGCAATCAATTTGGGGGAAATTTAGATTTGGGGAAATTGGGTGAGAATTAAGGTCAGAAAGCTTACTCCTATTGTGAACTCGAGGCAGGGAATCAGCTTGAGCCTGAGAAGGTACTCGACTTGCTTGAGGAGCTGCTCTCTCGTCAATGTCGGCAGGTACGACAGGGTTTCGAATTTCCTCTTCCCTTCCGTAGGCCAGACCTGCAATTGATCTCAAACTCAGTAACCAATTCGAAGTTCAAACACTGGAAAAATCAAAAATAAAAACTCAATTCAGCAATCGATTGAGTCAATTTCGTAAATCAGACCACCGACCTTCATGCAGGAGACTCTTCCGCCATTGCTGGCGAGGGAGGTGATGTCGGCGGAGTTCTTACGAGCGACGGGGAAAGCCGCGGAGGACTTGAGGCCGACGAAAGGAGCCACCTTAGTGGCTTGCGCCGGAGTCGCGGCGGCGGCGGCGGCGGCGGTGGAGAGCACTGAGCTAGCCATTTTTCTTCCTTCCTTTCTTCTTCTTCTTCACCAAGGCAGACAATGAAGAAGCACTGGTGCAACCTCACTCTTTATAACGGCTTCCAATTGGCGTGTTTCGATTGCGATCCAACGGCCAGAATTAACCCGCGTTCAAAACCGTCGAATCCAGGCCGTAGGATGAGGCGGGGCGTGACTTTCCCCGTTAATGTCCACACACATGCACATACAAAGGATGAGGGCCTTATCGAAATGGGCACGCCTGTGGTGGCGCCACGTGGCATGAACCTTATCCAAGGGGCATGGGTGAGCCTGAGCCTGAGGCTCGGATCCGGCCGATCGTAGCCGTTGATCTGGAGATCGACGGTCGTCGCCACCTTTTTGTGGGTCGACATAACTTCTTGTCAAATAACACTCCAAATTACTGTGAGCCATATAATTTTCAAGTCTTCCTCAGGCTTCCATGGTCCCTGACTCCCTCACTAAAACACTATGATTATTATTATTATTATTATTACATAAATAAAATGTGTTTGCCTGTGTGTTTTGAGTTTTGGGTTTTGGATTATTTAATAGGAAAAGTTTGAATTTGAATAATTATTTGATATAATATAAATAGAAGTTGATATAATATTTTGAATGTAAAATAAATTTATAATATAATATTAAAATAAATAATTATTTGATTTGATATATATATTTTTTAAAAAAATAAATTTGAATAGTAAAATTTTCGCCAGAACCTCCCAAAATAACACAACATAAGGCTCTGTCTACTTGAGTTTCTTTCTTTTCTTTTTGTTTTTTTTTTTTTTTAATTGGATACTTTTGAGATGAAATAGTAGTTTAAATAAAAGTTTTGAATAGAAATAAATATTAAATGTGATTAAAAAAAACATATTGAATAAAAAATATTACATTGGAGTAATTTTTAATTTAAGTATTACATTCAAAATGTATATATTAATACCATATCAAGAATTGAATTATTTCATTTCAAAATATGAATATCTCAAGCCATTTCTTTTTTTTCCGATAAGGGACGGCCGGTGGTGTGGGAATGAGACTTATGACCGTAAGGTTAGGGACTCAAACTCTCAACACCTCAGGTCACCTGCCACACATGATTCGCCTAGTAGCAATTGCGATTCCTACGTCGTCAACAAAAAACTTTAATTAAAATATAAGTTACTAATTTTTAGCATGCGATTTAAATTAAAATAATATGTATTGGGCGAATTGTTATTATACATTGTGTTGTTAGGTTATACCTCATGTATTTCATACATTGATTAAGACTAATCAACATAACCACCTAATTGTTGTTGACTTGTCGTGTGTATTTATATATTACGCTAACCATAACCAGTTAATTTGTCATTCAAAAGATCATGCTTAAAACTTATGTACACTAATAATAATAATAAATAAATAAATAAATAAATGCTCCATAATGTTTCAATCACTTCAAAGACAAACAAACACATCCTTACAATTTGATTTAGTGTATATATATATATATATAAAATAAAAAATTAAACTTTGTCTAGTTAGAGTTTGATTTCAATTCATTTACTACATAATCGATACTATATAGTATATATATATTTATATATATATAAAAACATATTTTCTTTGTTTGCAAAAATTAAGTCCATTGGAGCCGGAGTAGAGATTAAAAAATTTTGATATTTTATTGAAAAAGTAAAATAATAGTTATATCATTTTAATTTAAAATTTTAGTTAGTAATTAAAAATAATTAAGAGAGAATATAACAAAAATAATAGCAATTGCTATAGGATGAATACATGTCGAATATGGAATAGCAAGTAAATATTAAAAATTTAATTTTACCAAAATTAGTCACGATATAAATTTAAAGAACGTCGAAAAAAGGTAAAAAATAGTCACTTGGCGGTCGGATGAAAAAAATATTATATTATTCTTATATAAAAAATTACATCAAAAATATTGTTCAAACTAATATTAAGAGGGTGTTTGGGAAAGAGCTTTTTGAAAAGCTTTTAGCTTATTGAACAGTTTTTAACTGTTTACCGGTCAAAAAGCTAATTTAGGTGTTTGGTAAATTAGCTTGAAAGAGCTTTTTGGGTCCAAAAAGCTAATTTCTTAAAAGCTCATCTACCCAACATTTTGAAAGAATTTTTTTATTTTAATTTTGGTTATTCCTTATTTACCCTTAAAATTTAATTATTTATTTTATACATATAAATATATTTTTATAGCAGTATTTATTAATTAATTTTAATATATTTAATTTATTAAATTATATTTTTATTTTTGTAAATTTAAACTAATTATTACATATAAATTATTTTATTTGTAAAATATATAAATTTTTAAAACTAAATCAAATAAAAAAAATAAAGATTATTAATTTATTTATATATATTAAAACAATAATTAACATAATAAAAATATATATACGAAATATTTATTATTTTATATTTTACATAATTTCAATAAAAAATTATTATTTTTTAGTAAAAATAATTTTCTCAAATCTAAATAATAAAAATAAAAATAAATATTTTATAATATTTTTATAATTTTCCATAATTAATAACAAAAATTCTCATAAATTTCAAACTAAAATGGACAAAATTAAATATTTTAAAAAATAACATGTCAATGTCCTTAATAGTCATTTTATGTACAAACAACTAATATCAAACAGTTGTTTTACCAAACACTTTAATACAAATTGCTAATTGAATTAGCTAATAGATAAAAACTATCAGCTAATTATCAAACGCACTCTAAGTAAAAATATAAAACCATACACAACTACACAAACCATTACTATTGTTGCACTGTATCAAACCCTTTTATTAGCCAGAAAATGTGTTTGACATATAAAATTGAAATAGTCTCTCTGTCCCGGTGCAAGGTTGCCGTTTATTTTTTGCATATAGATTTTTAAATATTAGTATTTTAATAAGTTGTAGTGAAAAAACGAAAATGCCCCTGTTAGTATTGTCTAATATAAAAGTAATGACATTTGTATAATATAATGTAAGTTGGAAGGATATTTATTATGTTAGGTAGGTAGTACAATTACTAAATTAAGAAATGATATCCTTATTTTGGAAAGAATAAAAATGAAAAATAATAATTTTACAATGGGACGGAGAGAGTATTATTATTATTTGTTTTTTGAATCAGAAAATTGAAATTTGATAAATAAATTATTTTTCCATTATCTGTTCTGATTTATTTTGGATGTGTAGATAAATGAAAAAAATGTTTAGTATATACTTTTATAATTTTTTATTAAATATATTATTTTGATTTATAAAAATTGGATTTGTTTGCTCTGCACAAAATTTATGTGATGTAATTCTTAATATATATAAAATTTATATTTTATTCTCTTAATTATATAAAAATTTTAATATTCAATTTAAAATATTATTTTTTATACTATTAATATAATTCTTCGTACTTTGTGTAAAAGATATTTTAAATTAAAATGCTAAATAAACAATTCCAATTATATTTAAATTATTATATAAAATAAAATATCAAAATAAAAAATAACTAATTAATTACAACAATATTCTTTCACTATTATTACTTCATTCCCACGACCTTGCCCCGTTCAAATCCATTGATGGTCGTATTTTTTTATTTGTTAATTAGTTTTTATTTTATATTTTTTAATTGAATTTTCTATTTTATTTTTAAAAAAATCAATGGTATTTTTTATTTATATCCTATGGACTACAGTACATATAAAATATAATTCATATTACATATTATTCCCTCTCTCCTCGTAGCGTCTCTGCTGCACTTTAGAGACGATATTTTAAGAGGATTGTAACCAGTAGATAATTAAGAATGTATCGATGAAAATAATTATCTTATAATATAAATAATTATAAATTAAAATTAAGATAACTAATTAGTTTAATTAAAATTAAAAAAAATAAATTTAAAAGTTTAAAATAAAATTAGAGTGTTTTAATAATTTTCAAAAATGGAAAGTAATATGAAATGTGGGACAAAAAAAACGTTAACGTCGATACGGTATGTGGACCGAAGGGAGTAATATTTTATATAATATGTCCTTTTTCTTATATTTTTATATACTATATATAATATTTTTATATCTGATTAAACAATTTATATAGTATTGATAAATTTTAATTAACATGTTAAAATTATATATATAAATATATACTTTTAAAGTTCAATTTTATTTTTGTTCAAATATATAAATTTAGTAGAGTCAATAAATCACTAATTTTTTTTTTAATAAATGTATAGCATCCAATAAACAGGACAAAATATCCGGGACGGATAATAATTTACTCTATAAAATTAAAAATTTATTCTCTATTTTCAAATATTCCGACCCGAATCGTTGCTTTGGATACCCGGATCATTAAAAATATAAAACTCGTTTTACCTTATTAGAGGAAGAAAAACACAAACTGAAGCAGAAAGCAACAGAGGGAGGAACAAACCAACAAACCCTCTCATCGAAGATGATGACTCGGTCTTCATCTGGTGGACGAATCAACATCTCCGCCACTACCAAGAAGATCGACGTTGATAATAGGATTTCCCTTCCCTTCTACTACCGAATCGCGGATAATATTCTCAAGCAGGTATCCAATTCTCCCCGATTTTAGGGGTAATATTTATTCTTTACGCACGAGGGATTTGTTGAACTTGTTGGGGGGTTTTGGTGCTTGATCATGATACGTTTTCTTTTCCATAGAAATAGTTGAATCTTGTATGCTGAAGTGCTGTGGAAGAGTTGCATGTGTATTTGGGAGTTTTTCTGAACGGAATTCGTTTTGTGGTCTTGTTGTTTATCCTGTTAATGGGCTTTGTTAGGATCAGTGAGCTGAATTAATAATGTTGTGATTGTTGGTGCTATGATCTGGTTTTGCTGGTGGATTTCTGATATTTTGGATGATCCGGCAATGGTACTGAAATAAAGTGTGAGCCAAGTTGCGTGTGTTTTTTTGGTTACATTGTTATGGTTGAGACCTAACAATGTAAAGTATTAAGGCTAAGCTGGGCAGTGGTAGTTTTCGATATTTAGTGCCTAGGCTGGAACAATTGGCATGATCGAAAGTAAATGAAATTGGAATTGTAAATAAATCTTTTATCGAAAGATGGAAAAATTCAAAGGGGAGTGGGAATGGGCACACAAGGAAATGGGCGTATGTACAATTCAAGGAAATGGGCGTATGTACAATTCTCAAACCTCTAGCTTGTTCTTTCTATATATTCATGTCGTTATGTTTAAGGTCAATACTTAATAGTTGATTAAACTAGTAATTTGTGTGGGTGCATTCTAGAACCTCAGTTGCTTCCTAATAAATACATTTGGGAGAATATGCAATTGAGTTGTTTTGGGATTTCTGAGGTTATGCCACTGTCAGCTATTCAGCTTCCTCTGTTATTTAGATGTAATTAACTTATCATGAATTATTGACTAACAGAATAAACATTTTATTTCTTCTGAGCGGATGCAAATTGTCTTATGTTACACGGTTTTCTAGACTGATATAGTTGACAATTTGATACCCTTAAAGTATACGACGTTTCTGGATGTGCATCATGATGCAGTAGTTATTTAAGACAATCCGGATTGGTGCTGAAAATTCACATTGGTAGACTCTTCGGTTTAGTTATGCCATCAAATTTTGAGTGTTTAATACAGTTCAATGGATTTTGTATGTAGTTAAACATAACATATTTTTATAGACGGTTCAATATCTCAATACTGAAGAAATTATCTAATCACCGTTACATTATATGTTAAAAAAAGGGCTAATTAACAGTTGATAATGCATTTTCAACATGACAAAATCTTTGAAATTATACAACCTCTGTCTTTTGCTACTATTTCTATTTTCGGATGTTTCAAAATTTTCGCAAATTTTCTTTATTTATACATAGTTTTTCCTTTTTTAACATTCCAAAAGCAATTTATAAAATTACTTCAAACAAAAAGTAAGGACAAAGTGATCAAATAATTATCAAAATTATACCACCTAAAATCCCCGCCAAAAGTAAAACTAGCTAAAGAAATGGGTGTCAACATATTCTTTTATGTAGTTCAACAAAATTTTTATTCCTTTTAACAACACAAATTATACAATCCTGGAGCAAATTGAGCACATGATCCACTCCTATTTAACCTAATGAATTAATAGATCCCATCTTCCAGCTTTATAAGATTTTGATTGTGCGTATCCTCTATGTTATTTTATTTTGTTATTTCATGTAGAAAAGATAAATCAGACCATATTTGACTAACGGTATTGATAGGTATTATCAAGCAACTTTATTTTAAAGGACTTCCGCTTTTGCGTGATCCCAAATTCCTGATTTATCTGTTATCTTACATTTTTTAATCTTGTAAGTAAATGCTATGCTTTTAAGCTTTTTTAATTAATACTGCTCTCTTTGATTACCTTTTTTTTTTTATCTCAAAATTTTACCTGTCCATAAATGAAAATAGTTTGTAGATCATTTACTTGTACTATGCGTACATATCATGGTTTTGTTCTGTACTGATTTCCACCCAATTTTTAGACAAAATTTATATTATCTTTTTAATCATGCAGGCTGACATCTTTCGCGAAGAAAAGAATATCATCGATCTTTATGTAATGCTCCTTAGATTTTCAAGGTGAGAAAGTGTGCTGTGGAAGCATTTTTGGTTTTACTCATGTTACTATCTCTGCTTCACTGAAAAGATATCAGGTTGCCTGAGATATGAAAAAATGTGCTTTATCCAAATTGTATGTTGTTTTCTTTTAGTTTGGTTACTGAGACAATACCATGCCATCGAGACTATAGAACATCTCCTCAAGGCTATAAACTTTATCTCAAAAGGGTAAAACTAAATGACTTTTATTAATCTTCTTATTACTATTTAAATTTGTATTCCTCTGCTAGGGTTGGTGTTTTTACCACCACATTTTTTTTTCTGTAAATTTGTTGCTGCAGAGATTAATCACTGCATTGAATGAGCTTGAGGAACTAAAACCAGTTGTTCAAGTAAAACTTCAAGAGTTACACAATAAACAGATTTATCGCCAAAGTAATCAGCAAAATTCCTGGAAAAATGGCAACCTAGAATCTTCTGTTGAGTGGCCTGCCATTAAACAAAACAGGAATGATTCTATTACGGAGAAGGTAATTGTGCATTCTGATTGTCTTTATATTTTTTCTTTCCTTATGGTTAGCACGAGAGCAAAAAAATGTTTTTCAACAAATAATGAAGTTTCTCTTGTTCTTCTCAAACAAAAAGCTTCTCTTGTTCTCAGACAATAGGTTTCTTTTGAAAAAAGATTGTATATAATTTTTATTATTCTGCATCTGACAGAGACTACAACCTGGTACTCGTAACTATGTATATCAAGCTCCAATGGCTCTCGTTCCTGCTAAACCGGCAGAAGAACATTTCCGCCGAATGTAAGATACTCTCACTGCTCTGACCTTGTTGCCACTTGCTTGCTAGAAATATGAATATGTTAGTCTTGGAAATATTTCTGTCCTTATATAATAAATTATCTTTTGATTGTCAGTTGATATTTTTTTAACATGTTTTTTATTATCTAAAAAGAAGGTCAGAAAATATGGCTGTCATATTATGATAATGGATGATCATCTGGTGATTGTAGTATTCAATAATCTTTCTATTCTAAGTTATCAATCTATTTATCAAAATTAAGAGTTTAGATGTGAAAACTTATAGAATACTCACAGGTTGATTACTTGATTGTATAAAGAATTCATAGAATTGAACATTTGTATTCTTAATTTGAGTTGAAGAGCTATTTACTTGTTCCTATATATATTCATATCATAACAAGCAATTGAAATTTCAAGAGTATTAGAAGATGCAATCATGCAAATGCCGTCCGGCATCCTTAATGTAGTTGGAACGTACTTATTTTCTAGAAAATCTCTGAAACTGCTATGTACGAGCTTTGAGTTAAATCCTGTGTGCTCATAATGATAATATGTAGCACAGACAGGATCTATATGGCAAATCCACTTCATCATATACATATGCTTTTGCTAGTTTTCTGGGGAATTATTAAGGGTGTGTTTCTTTTGCCTCAAACTCCCAAATTTTACTATTTAGATTCTGCGTTTTTTAAAAAAAATACAAGTGCATTTTATTATTATTATTATTATTTTTTTATACAAAATATCTCATGATACATTCTTTTTAATACCAAACTCGAATCAAAATTTTCCAAACCAAATCAAACGAAACACACCCTTTGTATTCCTTGCCCAAAGGAGGAAACTCTGTCTAAGTCTTTTATTTTGGGCCAAATCTTTTTTTGACATTGGTTTTGTTAATATTTTTTTCTTGTGTTTTGCATGAATCATCAAGTATTCCGCGCGCAACGGAGGAAACTCTTTCAAGACATTCTATTCTGGGTCCCAATGGACTTCATGGGCTGTGGCAACCTCCTAGTACCTACAAGGTTGTATGGCATACGGATACTATTGCAACTTATTGGCACAAACATTTGTTGTAATTTTGTTTTATATATGCAGGTTCAATACCCAAGCAATTTAGACTTCACTCCACTCCAGATTCCAAGGTTTCAATGATATCAGAATTTCCATTTTTATAAATTTTCATGTTAAGTTTCATAAATTCTCCTATTTGGTGTTGTAATGCAGAGGAATGCTTTGTGAAAAATCTATGGTACAAAATAACTTGTTTTTGGAAACAAAAACAATATTATAATTTATATTTGAAGTCTTTTGGTATTAACAAGGAATTGTTTTGTTGCACAGTTTAGTTTCTGATCCTGTTAGGGATAGCACTTCTCAGCATTCCATCAAAGATGGAACAATGATGAAGGACGAAGATGGCCGCTTGAAAAATAAAAATTCGAGTCTGGAACCTGCAGTTCAGCCCAAAAATGATAACCAACACATTAAAGATTCTGATTCTCTTATTTCTTTTGAAACTGATGAAATTTCTTCACCGCCCAAAATCATTAGACAACCGTCTCCACCCCCAGTGCTAGCTGATGTACAGGATTTGATCCCAAGACAACCTTCTCCTCCCCCTGTGTTAGCAGACATCCAGGATTTGATCCCATCGTTAAATTTATCTGCTCAGCCAGAGTGTGTGTTGGAAAATGGATCAAATGATGCTTCAGTTTGCTCCGAAGATCCCTTGGAGTTGCATATTGTAAGTTGTTGTGCATTTAATGTCAACTCTCTATTTTTGTCTGCACTTGAATTATTTTTCTAAATAATCTAATATCTAGAAAAGTTAAAACTTTGTTCTTGTTCTTGTATCAGTCTACCGAACTGATGAACAGTTTTATGAAGCTAGCAAAGTCAAACACCGATAAGAACTTGGAAACATGCGGTGTCCTTGCTGGTTCCCTTGTAAGTATGACAAGCAATATGTTGCCTTTCGCCATGTGCTTGAGAATTATATTTCTAATAATTTTATCTAGTGGGATTGTCTGCTCTTGAGCTCTTTTTCTAAACAAAAAGATACAATTTTACATAATTGCTCTCATAATGTTTTCTGGAATTGTTTCTCTGTATTCATTGATGTTATTTGCCGCAGAAAAACAGAAAATTTTACATCACTGCTCTCATAATTCCTAAGCAAGAATCAACATCAGATTCGGTAAGCCAGAATGCTACGCATGCAGAGAGACTTTGTTTTGTGATTATGCACTAAATGGTTTTTAATCATGCAGTGCCAGACCACAAATGAGGAAGAAATATTTGACGTGCAGGACAAGCGGTCCCTTTTCCCTCTTGGATGGATTCATGTAAGACTATTTCATCTGCAATGTTACATGCTACAGTAGTAATAATCTCCCGTCTCTTATTATGTTGGTTGTGATTCGATATCTGCATTTCTGGTGCAATTGACAGCCTCTCCTGGTAGACTGTAGACACTTGATTTTTGTACTTCTTATTCATCGATCAAATTTGTACCCCCTCTAAGTTCCTTTTTCATTTTTGTTTTCTGGGAATTGTATTAATTTTCTGTGTGTATTGCAACCAATACAATTGCCTTCTTTGTTTTTGAGTGTTTATGCTTATGTTCCAAATGATTATTTTGATCTATCTTCACTCCTCTTTAATATACGTCATGTGTCTCTTGAGAAAATGTCATAGATAATGCTCAATATTTTTATGCCATCATTAGCAATGCTATTTGTTGTATCTTCTTCTTTTTTTCTTTTTTTTTTTTTGTGTTTCGTCAAGAAGGTTGTATTACTGTGCTTGTATCTTCAATGGTTTTTAGTCAGAAACCATGCAATTCCAATTAAAATTTGATTCTTCTCATCTTGTTTTGCAGACACATCCTACCCAATCTTGTTTCATGTCTTCAATCGATGTTCATACACACTACTCTTATCAGGTAAACTAATCTCTTTCTCACTCCATCTCATTTAATCTTTGACATGCAACCTCAATATTTTCATACACACTACTCTTATCAGGTAAACTAATCTCTTTCTCACTCCATCTCATTTAATCTTTGACATGCAACCTCAATATTTTCGTGGTGAAGATTAAGTTACAGTAAAAATCATATCTGCCTCAATGAAAAGGTTGATTGATAGACTTTCACCTAAGAAACTGCAACAGAGGCGTACATTTCTTGAAAATTTTCAACTAGAGAATTATGCCTCTTTTTGCCGAAAAAAAGGTTACTGATATGCATCATTGTATATGCTTCATCCATCGACATTCGACACAACACTTCATGTAGGAGATTTAAATGCCCAGTCATTGTTTTGTGTTGTTGATGACCAAGAATTGTACCCTTCCTAAATACTCCTTCCGCCCGCCATAACTACGCTTGTTTATCTTAATATGGAAACTAAGAAATTATAATATTTTAATGTAAAAGTATATGTTATGTAGGGTTTTTTTTTTGGGAAATTAACATACCCTAATTGATAGTATATGTTTGATGTAACAATAATGACAATTATTATGTGTTAAAAGTAAGTGTAATATATAAGTAGATGAAAAAAATAGTTGATATTTATGGTATAAGCACAAATTCAATTGATGTATCTAAATGGGAAGTAAGCACAAATTTTGCAGACGGCAGGAGTAATTTATAAAATTCGAAGTTTGAAGACAATTAATAATATATCTGTCATCGTTCGAGCCTGTTTTACTTGCCACTTGATACACCTATTTCTTTCGTAGATCATGTTGCCTGAAGCTATTGCCATTGTGATGGCTCCAAAAGACAGTTCGAGGTCTGAGTTTTCCGGATGAATCTTCTTCTTATTTACTTTTTATTCGATAAATTGGCACTATAAACTGATGTGTTTTATTTTGTTGTGTATTCAGATCACATGGCATTTTCCGGTTGACTTCTGGCGGAATGACGGTCATCAGGCATTGCCCGAGGCGGGGCTTCCATCCTCATGACCCCCCTTCTGACGGTAGTCCTATTTACCGTCATTGTAGCGACGTTTATATGAATCCCAGTTTGAAATTCGACGTTATCGATCTTCGTTGATATGATCCTCTCTCTCTAATTCATTATACGTACGTAGTTTTGATTCAATTTTTTGAACCAGCAGAAAGATGTAAATGTTGATGTCCCATTTTGTGTGTTTTTACAATCTGTGTGCTAACTCTTACAAACTGTAATTCAATTTGTCATTGATTTTCTGTTTTAATTTTAACGTCTCTTTATTATTGTTGTTATTATAAATTGGGTAAACTAAACCCCTTGTCATTTTAGTTCTGTAATTAAATCTCTTTATCATTTTTATCCCGTAAGTGGAACTGTTGCAATTTTTGTTGATAAAAGGGTGGACTAAAAAAACAATTTATCCTTATAAATATTTTGTTATTATTTTTTATTTGAGATATTCAAAGTTTTTCCTTTATTTTTTTATATTTTATTTCTATATACTTCATTTAGCAGTAAAAATATAAATTTATTTTTGTGAAATTTAAGAACTATGATTTAAGTGGTTGTTAATGAATTTTTTAAATGTAAATATTATTTTGTCTTTATATTTTAATATGATTGAACGAAATAATAAAAATGTGTACAGTTTTTAGATGGAGAAAGTATAATTTATAAAAAAATATAGGAGTGTTAAATAAATAAGGATAAAATAGATAAAATTTATTTAATTGAATACCATCTAAATTGTATCTAAAGTACAACTTAAAAAAATGATAAGAGGTAGTATTAATGTGCATTATTCATTTAAAAATAAGAAAGTAAGCGGTCAGACTACTTTAATAGTTTGTACCGTTCAATTATGTGTATATATTTGACTCTTTTTTAAAAAAAATATCTAAAATAAAATTATTCAATAAATAGTGAGTGCAGTAGAGTTTGATATAATTATTTTTAACATCCTTTTCCTCTTAAAAAATATCTTCTTTTTTTTTTTCCTTAAAAAGTGCTATTGCTACACCGATCAATTTATTTTTTACTACTTCAAAATTTATATGCATTCAAATATATTACACAAAAAAATACAATAAAATTTTGATTCAAAATATACTTGAAAAATCATTAATCAGATCTGCTCGTGTATGTATGCATATATATATATATATATATATTATATATTACATTTGAATTTCCGCGGTCTACTGTGCATGTGTACTTCCCTCTCTATTTATTCCCTCTCTTTTAGATTTCTGAGTCGACTGGGGAAGGTGAAGTGATTTTCGACTCCGTGTTGGATCAACACTCCTTCGGTCGTCGGCGATGCTCGCGCGGTTCAACCAATCCGATTATTCTGGTAAGCGTGCAGTTCAATGCGTTTGTTTAATTGCTTTACATCTTTCGATTGAGGTTTCCGTGGATGTAGTAACGGTTATTGCTGCTTGATGATCCTAATTATAATTTGTATGTGAATGCCGATGCGATCTGATTTGAGAAGTCGATTTGTTGTTTGTATCGTTATGGTTTTTAAACTGCAACTGATGAAGCAGGAGTGATTTGATTTTATTAGATTTTTTTTAAAAAAAATTATTAGATTTGTTTACACTCTAGTTCGTTATGGAGTTGATGTTGTTGATGTAAAGCAGCGCGTAATTGAATAAGCAAAACTGTGTTTGAATCAATCCTCTGTTTAATTGCAAATTGAAATGCAAATGTTGGTTAAGATGATGACAATAAACCTAAGATTTGATGGAGTTTGGAAGTGTCCGATCCTCCGAGCAGAGTTTTGGAATCTCAGAATATTGCTGGCCCAAGCTTCTTCCCCCTTTACTTCCAAACTGTTTTTAATTCCCTTTTGCAAAGTAAACTGATCAGAATTCTGATCAGATGGCTTCACTTCCTTGTTAAAAACAAAAAGCTTTCAATCCCTAATATCCTACACAACACATCACTTTAGTGTTCATACCTCTTTAGAAATGAAGAAAGAACAACACCAAGAAGAGCAGAAACAAAAACTCCTCCAACCTCTCAAAAGCCTCACTGCTTATTTTCTCTTCTTCGGATTCGGTTTAGCCGTTGGAATCACACTAAGTTCCTATCTCCCATACACTTCTCCAAACTTTCTATTAGCACAATACTTCACCTCCACTGTCCTGTCCCCACCGCCATCATCGCCGGGCAGAATTGCACTCCGGGAATTTCTCAAGCCGCCAAAAGTGATGCACGATATGACGGACGAGGAGTTGCTATGGAGGGCTTCTATGAAGCCTAAGATTGGTAAATATCCGTTCAACCGGACACCAAAAGTTGCCTTCATGTTTCTGGTGAAAAGGAGCATCCCCATGGCTCCCCTGTGGGAGCTCTTCTTCAAGGGGCATGAAGAGTTATATTCCATTTATGTCCATTCTCAGCCTTCCTACATTGAGACTGAGGTTAATGCTTCTTCAATCTTCCATGGCAGAAGGATTCCTAGCAAGGTAACATTTACCAACCCTTCCTTTGCTGGCTTCTTACTTTGCATATAGTATAATAATTAATCACATGTTTTCTTGATTAGGCTATCTATACACACATTCACATAGATAGATACATGCATATTAGTACGATTTGTTTAGCATGTGTTTGTTTGGGGGTTTTGAATTTTAGATTTGAAATTTGAATATTAAAATTTTTGAATTAAAATAGTTGTATCACGTGAATTTTGAATATTAAAAATAATTTTTAGTATAATAAAGAAAATAAAAATAAATGTTTGATTTGATAATTTCGTGTGAAAGAAATTTGGTGAATAGTAGATAACAAAATAAATTAAAAAATAGTAATAAATTAATTATTTTTTGTTAAAATAAAAATAATAAAATTATAAATGCATAAATTATTTTATTGAAATAATAAAAAAATAAAATTTTAAATTTAATACTTATTTTTAAATCAATTTCAAACTCTAACCGACCAAACTCTTTATTGTAAAATTAACTTTTGTTTTACATCTATGTGCTTTGTTTGTATATACGTGCAACCTTTTACTTGCATATATATATATATATATATATATTATATATATACATTCCTTTCTTGCTTTTGTTTATGCCGCCTTTCTTTACAAGTTAAGAGGTTCTAAGAGTACACAGTAGGTATCATAATTGTTCCATCAAATGAGATGATGGGCAGATAAGTAGAAAGATTGGTGAAATATATTCACTTTTTTTGGTTTGCATTCTTTTACTATTTAGACAAAATAACATAAAATTTGTATGTAATTTTTTAGATTTGCTGAAATTATTTCTTGGTTTTAAAATTCCATTTTATCTGTGCTTGTAGTTGAGATAATATTACAAGAAATATCCTGTCCATTATTACTGATCTAGCATGAGCTTAAAATATTAATAATACATCCTCTTGAAAACGGATAGACTAACTCGATTTATAAAATACAATCACTCTCCTATTGTATTTGCACATTATTGTGTAGGGGTAGCAAAGATAAACACGCCCCGAAAGATTGGTCCAGTACAATATGAAAGAATTGTACTTGTTGACTCGAAAATTTTTTGATTATGTTTGACCCTGTCCGATTTTTAAAATTAATATATAATAAATTTTTATATATATATATATATATATTAATGTTTGAAATAAAAATAAAGATTATCGCATGACTTCATGTGCTGGCCTTAACAATTTGAAATATAAGGTAAAAAACAAATTACTTTCCTCTATTACTCAATTGCGTGCTCATTTATATAAATGAGTAAAAATAAAAATTTAAAGTAAAAAAAAAAATGATATTTTTTACTGAAAAAAAAATAAAATTTAGATAATAATTTTTTTTAAAAAAAAACGATTTAAATAAGAAAGACAATGCTAGCGAACCCAAACCCTAATTTTTAATTTTTAACTTTTTCTTTCATAATTTATATATTTATGTTTTGTTAATAATGTACTAGAAAGTAGAGTGGGGGAGGTTCAACATGGTGGAGGCGGAGCGGCGGTTACTGGCCAATGCCCTTCTAGACCCTTCCAATCAGCGATTCATCCTCCTCTCCGACTCCTGCATTCCTCTCTTCAACTTCACCGCCGTCTACTCCTACCTCCTCCGCTCCTCCTCCGCCGCCTTCCTCGAGTCCTACGACCTCCCCGGCCCCGCCGCCCGCGGCCGCTACAACCGCCGCATGCGCCCCCTCGTCGCCCTCGCCGACTGGCGCAAGGGCTCCCAATGGTTCGAGCTCGACCGCGCCCTCGCCGTCGAGCTCGTCGCCGATCGAGCCTACGCCGCCGTCTTCCGGCGCCACTGCCGCCCGTCGTGCTACGCCGACGAGCACTACTTTCCGACGCTCGTCGCGAAGCGGTTCGGGCGGCGGAATGCGAACCGGACGCTGACGTGGGTCGATTGGTCTAGGGGCGGGCCCCACCCGAGAAAGTATGGCCGGGGCGATATTACGCCCCGGATGTTGACCCGGATGAGAGCGGGTATGGGTTCGGGTGGTAAGTGCTTGTATAATGGGGAGTGGAGTGATATGTGCCATTTGTTTGCGAGGAAGTTCGCGGCTGGCGCGTTGGATCGGCTCCTGAAATATGCGCCGCAAGTGCTGGGATTTTGAGGAGCCGAGCCGAGCCGTGTACTTGTAGTTGTGTTACTGTAATTAATTCATTATATCTTATGTTAGATGAGAAAATCTAACAACAAAAATTAAAATGTTGAGATAGGTTCGATCTTGATTTTATAGCTGAGAAAGAAATTTCTAAGCTATTACATAGAAAACAAGAAAAGAAAATTGTGGAGAAAATGTAAAGTGGTGATTCCAATAAATGTTTCAAAAAATTTGTTGATTAAAGATGTCGGAAACATCGTTCTTATTTTATAAAATTTCAAAAATTACATTATATCATAACCAAAGTCTTGTCAAAGTTTGTCATAGTGTGCTTTGGACTGAAATTGGTGATTGGTGGCCTTTAGCTAAATTTTGGCCAAGGTTAAAAATCCAGCTATTAAACTATTTTCGTCATTAGTTAACACTGACTTCGTAGTTATGAAAGGTCGTGTGTTTACTCATTGTGAGGTTGTGAGGTTTTAATTTTGGGTTTTGATATTAAATAGTAAAATTTTGAATTGAAATTGTTATTTGATGTTATTTGTTGATGTGATATTTTTAATGTAAAATTAGATTTGTGTAATAAAATAAATAAAAATTGGGTGTTTAATTTGATGTTTTTGAAGAAAAATAAAAAGTTAAAAATAGTAAAATCAGATGTAAAACCTGACAAGTAAACACACTCCGAAGTGTTTTAAGCATCTTCACAGCTATGATGCTTTTAGAACAGTTACGGACCAAATCAATACTACACTGACATCACATAAAATATAAACTATCAAAGCACCAAAATCATCTACAACATATGAATCCATAGCTACAAAAATAACCTACACCACATCTACTATATTTCATGTCAACAAAGTGTAGGATTATATCTCAACTATCATTCTAACCATTCCCCACACCAAAATCCCAATGTTAGTTATTAAACAAATATGAAATCCCTTGTAGAATTACTAATGGTGTGGAAGTGAACTAATGACAGTGAAGTCATGAGTTCAAATCTCTAACGCTTTCAGATTTTATTGGTCACGTATGGTTCATTTAGTATGAGTTGTTTTATCGGACTTAATTTGTAAACTCTTTAAATTCGACCAAAAATTTACCAAAAATATATTTAAAAAATAGCATCGATTCCCGCATCATAAAAATAAATAAATAAAACCAAAATAAACACATAAAGAACTTACCAAACACCAAAACTACTTCAATTCCGAGCTAAGTAGAGACTCCGGCGAAAGCGTAAGAGAGCCACTGCTAAGCATAAACATATCATCTTCACGTATACGAATGTCCACAAAATCCTCACTCCCATAATCCTTACTCGACATTATTTCCTGCAGCCTCTCCAACACATCCTTCATTTGGGGCCTCATATCCCTCCCCATCTGCAGGCACTGAAATCCCAACTCGGCCACGGCTCCCACCATCCCCCGAACCCTGAAATCCGAACCGAACCCGATATTCGGATCCACGAGCTCGTGCACCGCGTGCCGTTGGATCCTGTTGATCGCCAGCGACGCCAAATTGATCTCGTTCCGATCCCGCGTTATGTCGACGGCGGGCTTCGACGAAATCAGCTCGATCAACACCACACCAAAGCTGTACACGTCGCTCTTCTCGGTGAGCTGGTAGAACTCGGTGTACTCCGGGTCGATGTACCCGGGCGTGCCCTGAGGCCCCGTCGAGACGTGCGTCGCGCCCGACGGTTGGATCCGGGAGATCCCGAAGTCGGCGACTTTCACCGAGAAGTTGTCGTCGAGGAGGATGTTCGCGCTCTTCACGTCGCGGTGGATCACCCCCGACGCGTGGAGATACGACAATGCGCTCGCCGTTTCGATCGCGATTTTCAATCGTGTGATCCACGAGAGCGATCCGGGCTTCGCGAGGGGGCCGTGGAGGTGGTCGGCGAGAACGCCGTTGGGGATGTACTCGTAGACCAAGAGGAGCTCTTTGTCGTCGGAGGAAGTGCAGCCGTAGAGCGACACTAAGTTTTGGTGCCGTAGGGCGGTGAGGATCTCGACTTCGGTCATGAAATGCTCGACTCGTTTGTAGTGATACTCGTAGAGGCGTTTGACGGCGACGGTTCGGCCGTCTTGGAGTTTTCCTTTGTAGACGGCGCCGAAGCCGCCGTCTCCGAGGGCCCTCTCGGAGCTGAAGTTGTCGGTGGCGTCGGCGAGCTCAATGTAGGAGAAGAGATGGATGCCGATGGTTTCTAACTTTTTGGCGAGTTGAGGATGCGAAGATGAGCCGTGGATTGCGAAGGATGATACTGTCATGCGCTTCTTGTAGCGACGGTGGTAGATGAGGAAGATTATCGCCATTGCAATGGCGCTAAAAGAAGCTGCTCCTATACCTGCACAACATTAGAGCCATGGATTGAAGAGTATATAGCAAACTATCAATAGTTCTAAAGGCAACCTTAGTTAAATTTCCCTATATTTGAAAACTTGTATTTAATCTCTGTAGGTAATTACTAAATCAGCGAAGGATTAAATTGCAAATAAATAATAGGAAGAGAATGTGAGAAAGAAAACTGACATGAAGAAAAAGAATCAATCAAATAAAAAATTGTAACATTGAAATATACTTCATTCGTTTCATTTTTAACTCTTGATATAAATAAAATATAAAATTGTAACATTGAAATATATTTCATTCGTTCCATCTTTTGTATTTTGATATAATTAATAAATAATTATATTACTGTAACGATGGATTAAATCAACTTGATGTTGATTTAATTATCAAATATCTCTAAAAACAAATAGCAAATATTAATATAATATGCTTCATCCATCTCATAATAAATATTCATTTTTTTATTTTTATATCACAAATACTAATAAGGTTATTTTAGTTATTTCTATTTTATTCCTACTAATAAAATTATTTTAGTCATTTCTATTTTAAAACTATGTGAAAAAAACAAATGAATATTTACTTATGAGACAGAGGGAATATAAAATTTATTGGAATAGCAAATTTTTTTAATTATATGTAGCAAAATATATTATATTTTAGCAAAAATGTCTTTTGATTTCAGCACACTAGGGTTTGATCCAAACAGCTAATATCTATGAGTGTGTTTGTTTTGGGGATTGAATTTTAAATACGCTGTTCATCTCATTTTTTTCCTGATTTAAAACATCAAATCGACACCTATTTATATCATATCATACAACTGTTCAAATTCAAATTTTTTACTATTCAAATCCCAACTAAAAATTCAAACATCCAGGCAACACAAAAATAGCAAATACTAATATAATATTTAACACTTTTATAACACATTATATAATACTATATATGTTATCTATCTTATAATAATTTATTAATTATTTTAAATTAATATACTAAGTTAGTAGTACCCTACTGGTATGATCATTTGGCTGATTTGTTAAATTAGCATGGTACACTATTCGCTGCCTTAAAATATAAATATATTAGTAAAATGAAGATATTTCTATTCTTGCGTACTCAATTATTTGTACCAAAGATACCTTATCGTTGTTCGATCCTTCTATGGAAATCAATGGCTAATGAGAATGAGAAAGTTAAAGAGTTACCTATGCCAATTTTGCGCCCCACGTTTAATGGTTCATCTGTTCACACAACCGTAAGGCAGAGCTAAGTAACAATGGAGTTGCAGGGGATATACATATATATATATATAATATATTCGTGCATATGTTCATAGAGATGAAGATGCAGAGCAGACAGACCTTTTTGCCAATCGAGCTGCCGTGGACCATCGGAGAAAAGGCAGGTAGGAGGAGCGACTGCAGAATTTGTACCTGACCAGCACAATCCTTTATGTTCTACACAGAACCGACAATTGGTGGCGTTGTTCAATCGGTACTCTACCTCAAATCCGTTACTCACGAGTTTCGCCAGATCTGAAACCGTCGGCGACTTATTCGCCGGCAACTCCTGCCACGCCGTCTTCATCACCGGAACCGCGATGTGCTTGCAGAGCGTCGTGTAACTCGTGTTGGTGCTGGTGAAAAACAGTTCGTCCACGACGTACTTTGTTCTGTTCGTGCCATTGAAACTGCAATTGAATCGATTTTTAAGAGGAAAATCGACACTGGAGGCGCACGAATCGAGAAAATACAGATTCTCAACCGCCGGAGAGAACTGCAACTTCGTATCTCCTCCGTCGAAGATCCGTTCACTCAACCACGAAGCGTTCGCGAACCTCTCGGCGCAAATGTTCTCGAACGTCTCGTTTTGTGCGATTCTCATTGAGCTATCGCCGGTGCGGATTTCGATAACGCGGAAGGTTACTCCGGCGATGTCTATAGTGACTGTATTCTCCGGCGGATGGCACTGCAGCTTCAGAAGACTTACGCCGCACACCGACGGACGGTCGCTTCCGGAAAACGGATAGTCAACGTTTTCGAATCCTCCTCCGCCGCAGGAGAAGCGGCGACTGCAGTTGAGATACTGCTGGTCTTCGCCGGCGCAGATTCCGATCAGGAAGAAAAGTACGGTGGAATTGAGGATACTTCGGAGGAGGAAAAGTTCCATTGAAGAACGGAAACCCGAGGAAGTAGAGAGGAGCAAAATGGATCTGAAATGCAGAAATCAATAAAGGTTTGCAGTTAATTATTCCACAATACGAAAAGTCAATGACTTGACATGTCTATATTCCTTATTAAAAGTTAGTTTAAAATATAAAATAGATATTTTTATTGTTTATTATATTTGAGAGTTATATAGGTAAATTTAAACTGGATTAAATAATCTGAAAATTAAATTCATAAAAGAGTATTCTTCCGTCTTTATCTATAGTGTCTATTTTCTTATCGATATTATGTCACTCATTTATTAAAAAAACAGTATTCACTCTAATTTTATTTTAAAATTTAAAATTTAATTTTTTTTAAATATTATATTAATTAATTATTTTAATTTTAATTTAAAATTATTTTTATTAAATAATAATTATTTTCACTAATAAATTTTTAATTATTTATAAATTATATATATTTTTTAAAATTTTTGTGAACATCATATCTAAAAGGAAAGGAGTATAATACTCAAAAAAAAAGAAAAAAAAACTATAAATTAGAATATTACATACTTTTTTTTGGAAAGAGGATTGGGTGCTGATGTTTTAAAATCAGCATACATTCTAATAATGTAAATATTACTATTATACATAATTATATTAATTATATAATTTAACAAAATAAATTAATATAACTAATTTTTACATTATTGGTGCTGGTTTTAAAAACTCAGCACTCAATCCACTCCTTTTTATTTTGTATGTATTGTTGTTTACTTTTAGTTTGAACTTCTATAGTAATTTTATAAAATTTTTCCTACTTTTATTTTTTACTTTATTTGTTAGTTATGTTTCTATAAATTATTTTTCCAAAAAAAAAATATAAATATATATATATATAATGGGTAAAAAGAAGTTGCACAAGTGTAAAACTTAAAAATAATAGTAATAATAATTAAGGGTGAGTATCGATTTGTCCCAACTGAAAAAATTGATTTTTTTTAGTTTGGACTGTTAGATTAATTGGGTCGGTTCGCGGTTCAAAATCAAATTAATGATTTTTAATTTTGGTTAATCGAAAAAAAAAGAACTTAAAAATAAATAATAATATATTAATAAATACTGTAATATTCACTTCTTCCACCTTAATTTAAAGTATTCTTTATATCATTTCTCCAGTTTCACTTAAAATATCTATTTTTTAGTAAAAATAATCATGCATTAATACTTAAGTACTCTTAAGTTTTATTTTAAATTATAAATATATCATACACATACAATTATTTTATATATATCAAATAACAAAAATGTTAAAATATCTTATACAACCCTTCTATTAACCAATAAAATATTATTGTCGAGCCTAGTGTGAATTGCCCGTCAAGCCTGATTGGCAAAGTATTCGGTTCGGCCGCGGGTTCTTCAGTGCGTATTTTCGGGTAGCAGCTGTGGGTTCTCACGCCATATAATAATAATAATAATAATAATAATAATAATAATAATAATAATAAATATTATTGTCTTGTAAACCTGGTGATGTGGAGAGTGACTTTGTGACCGTGAGATTATGGATTTAAACCCTAACGCCTCCAGGTCTACTTGTCATACATGGTTCGCCTAATGTAACTTGTTTTGTTTGGCATAGTTTGCAGGGTATTAGGTTCGGTCAAAATTTAAAATTCGGTTAGAACCGAACTAACCGAATGCACACCCTTGATAATACTACCTCAGTCCCACGTACCGTATCTACTACACTGTAGACACGGTATTTTAGGAGGGGTGTAATTAATAGATAATTAAGAATGTATTAGTGAAAATAATTATTCTATAATATAAATAATTATAAATTAAGATTAAGATAACTAATTAGTTTAATTAAAATTTAAAAAAAATAAAAATTTAAAATGAGATTAAAGTATATAATCATTTTTCAAAAAATGAAAGTGACATGGTATGTGGGATAGACAGAAACGGCAACGTGGACATGGTACGTGGGATGGAGGAAGTAATATATATTAAAATTTTAATGTATTTTTTGTATAACTTATTTTGTGTTTTGTGTATTTAAATATAAGTTATCATTTATATCACAAGACAAGATGTATATAGGGAAGGTTTTGCCAAGTGCAAACTTCTATTACTCATTCAACAATGGAATGGAATATGAATTTATAACTTTAGTTGCACTAGGTAATTTGGTTTATAATATTTCATTATAAAAAATAAAAATTTGTATCAATTTATCTTATCTTTATTTGTTGTGATAGCACAACTATGGCAAAAGCATACAACCAAACCTACAGTGGAAAGTATAGATAGTTGGTTTCTAGACACAATACGATTTGTGAATTAATCATGAACGAAGTAATTTCGGTGTAATTTGTTTGGTAACAATAAATCTAGCTGATCTTTTGACGAAATGGTTGGTTAGAGACTTAGTGCTTAAGTTGTCGATTCGAGTTGGAATTAAAATCTATCTAAATCTAGGGTGTGTATGTTTGGGGGTTTGAATTTTGAGTTGAGATTTGAATAGTAAAAATTTTAAATTTGAATAGTTGTATGATGTGATGTTTTAAATGTAAAATTGATTTTTAGTATAATATAAAAAATAAAAAATAGGTGTTTGATTTGATGTTTTGAGGGGGGGAATTTGGATGAATAGTGTAAATCCAATTCAATCCCCCAAACAAACACACCATAAGTGTAAAACACTCAATTATTTTCTATACAACATTAGAAAATGAATTCAATGCGGAAAACTCACATGTTAGAGATTGAAATTTATATTGTAAATTCATCTTAGGTTTGTGTTTGAACAGGTAAAAAAGGTAAATTGAGATTTATCTTAATAATTTTTTTAAAAAATTGCCAATGCATGAGTAAGATTGAAAGCAATTATCTATGCAAACATAAAGTTTTTATCGTTGGAAGAAAATTTGGATTTGCTTTCAATATGCTTATGAATAGATAGTGATACATAGATTGTAGCATTATATGTTATTTAAGAATTACGTTAAAAGATGATGATTGTTATTACTATAATTTTAAGCTCATTTTAAATTTTTTAAAATTATCTATATATTTTTGTCGGCTTACTTTAGTATAAATAAATAAATGGAACCTTAAATTGATAGATTTTATTTTTAAACAAATAAATATGATCCAAATTAAGTATGCCTAATGAGACGTCCTGTCAGCCCCAGAGCACTAGCACAATGGATTTCCATATTATAAAATAAATAAATAAATGATTATCTACGAGATTAATGATGAAATACTTTTCAGTACTAATACTTTACAATATCTTATGTTATCATATATATATATATATATAAATATTTACATAATATATACTCTTTTATTTTAAAATAATTATTTTATTTTGCTATTATTATCTGTTTTAAAAGAATAGTCTCATTCTTATTTTTTAACTAATTTTTTATTTTTCTATAAAATTATCTTCATTTTTTTCACAATAATTTTGATTTTTAAAAAATATTTTTACATAAATTATTAATATAATACTACTCATTCCGTCTCAATACAATAGTTTTGTTTACTATTTTTGTCCGTCCCAAAATAATTGTCTTATTTTCATAAATAACAATATTACCTTCAAATTACCCATATTTTTTCATTTTTATTATACAATTACCAATACAACGGCAAAAAAATCTTTTATACATACTTTTTACCAACTATACTATCCCGAAGGAATATTATTTTTTTAATTATTATGTCAATATCAAATATCTCTGTTATTTTGGTACAAAATAAATATCTTTTAAATAATAATAATATATTTATGTTTTATTGAAAATTTTCTTCATATTCTTTCTGATTAACGTACTCTTTTTTATTTATTCTTCCCCCAAAAACATTTAACCTTTAATTTTGGTACGGTCAATATTTAGAAAGTGATTTATAATTTCTGCGTCTCTCCTCCTCTCCTCTGCGTTTGTTAAATATCAATTATTTAGTTTGGTGTGGCCACCGATCCCATTATTCATCGGCGAGAGGCTCTCTGTTTCTCGATTCATTGCAAGAGAGGAAGGGGGAGTTGAGTTTGCTTGTTTGATTTGCCAGCCACAATTTTGGATTCCAGCCATGGGTTGCTCCTTCTCGGGATTGAACGCCCTATACGACGCCGTTAATGGCGGAGGCGATGTCTGGATCAACGAGAATCGCTTCAGGATCATCAGGCAGCTCGGAGAAGGCGGATTCGCGTATGTGTTTTTGGTCAAGGAGGTTGTTCCTGACACTGCCAACTCTGGCATTTCGAAGAAGATCAAGGATTCTTCTCACGTCTCCGGTAATTGTAATTGGATTGTTTCCGAATCTGATCTGCGTATTTAAATATTTGCGTGAATTGCGTGTCTGGTTCGGATCTTGTGGTGTGATCCTTCGATTCAAGTTTGCAGTGATTGTGAGTTATGAACGTGTGGAATTTTATGAGAGTGTCTGCAGAATCAGTATCAGAATTTTATTTAATTCTAGTTTTATGGAGCTTAATATACGTTGCAGATGTGGTTTGATTTCAATTTGATCTCGATCTGAAAACGCAAAATCTGTTTATCCGATGTAGTTTTGTCTTCGTCTTCAATCAAATTATAATGTGAAAATTTGATGAGCAATTTCTGTGTTCAATGGAAACAAAAGTTTGGAATATTATTTTGAACAATTTGCTAAAGGATTGACAGGAGTGAATAGGACTGTAGATAAGAGATCAAGTTTTGCTTGCATTGGCTGTAAATATGATAAAAATAAAATAAAATAAAATAATGAGTGGTGCATTGTGCAAAATTGATGGCATTGTTACTGGATCTATGCTCGACATTTATACCGTACATGTCGATGTGCAGAGGATGGGACCTATGCAATGAAGAAAGTTCTTATTCAAAACAATGAACAACTAGAGCTGGTGAAGGAAGAGATTCGTGTTTCGTCACAGTTTAATCACCCTAACTTGCTTCCGCTTCTCGATCATGCAGTCATTCCTGTCAAGGTAGTAATACTTCTGTTTTTCATCAATTTCTCGTTTTGCTCGATACCAGCCAAAGTGTTTCTTAATGAAGATTAATAGTAAAGTGTGGTCATTATATTTATGTTTTATGGTATTTCAAATCTAGTTTTTTCTATGTCTTTTAATACTTTGATGTCGGAGAATTCACACCAATTATCCATGAAGAAGGTTTTGTCATAGTAGCAGTCTAACAGAGTTAAGATAAAATAGAATTTCATGGTACATTTTGGCAGCGTGCATAGTTAACTTGATATTTAATTTTTTCTATTGATGTATTATAATGCTAATCAATGTACACTGAAGTTGGAGAACAAAATTTTAATTTTCGTCAAAAGAAATGAACTTCATGCTGTTTATCTTATTTTTATGAAATGATTTGTGATTGGAGCTTCTTGTTGCCATTTATTTCCATGAGAAGGTATTAGAAATGTTATACTTCGAAGGAAATGATTCGAGTGGCCGATAAAGTGCTTGTACCTGTGTGCAAAGTATTAAGGTTTTACATACTTCATTTTTATACATAATTGTTTCTGCTCATGGTGACATTTTTATACTCACTTTCAGGAGATTTCATTATAAAATTACTTCTCAATGATTGTATTGGCTATTGAAACTGTATTTGATCAGTCTTTAGTATTCGTTTGATAAGAGCATTAATAAGATAGTGGACCAAGATAATTGTGTAATTTATGTTGTTTTCTTGCAAATGACTACCTAAACCTCTGTTTACATGCCCTCCTTGTAAATTATGCATTCTCGGAGTCATCATCGGATTTATTTAATCAACAAAATATCTTGCTTTATCCAGGCCACACAAGAACAATCCTGGAAAAACGAAGCATACTTGTTGTTTCCTGTCTTATTGGATGGGACATTGTTGGATGTTTCCAAGGCTATGAGAGCTAAGAACGAGTTCTTTTCTGTCTCAGATGTGCTTGAAATATTTCGTCAGGTAAATCAGTAACATATTTCCTGTCTCAATTTCTAGTACTCCCTCTGTCTCAAATCAATTTATCCGTTTTTTTGTCATTGTAGTCCCCAAACATATATATATATATTTTTTTTAAAAAAAAAAAAAAAAACCCTTACATCTTACTTATTATCACTACAATGCTATCAACATAATTTAACTAAATTACAGAACATCCTTATGGTAAAATTGTGTATTCATCCCTCTATTATACTACATACATATAAAATATTGATATACATAATTTCTGGAAATGCATTTCTCATTGAAATGGTTGTGGAAGTAAAACAATTAAGTGACTTAATTGCAGTTATGAGTCTGTTTTTTGCTCCTTTTTCTCTTATGGAGGTTGAGGTATCAATTCATTGAAAGGGCTGTATATTTCCAGCTTTGTGCAGGATTGAAACACATGCACACTTTTGACCCTCCATACGCACACAATGATGTCAAGCCCGGGAACGTTCTTCTATCATACAGGAAAGAACAGTCACCCCTGGCAATATTGATGGACTTTGGAAGTGCTCGTCCAGGAAGAAAGCAAATTAGATCCCGCAATGAAGCATTGCAGCTGCAGGTTATTTTTAAGTGTTTATTTTATACATTATTAATGTTTCGGAATCTCAAATATCTGTTCAAACATTTTTCGCCTGCCTCTTTGATTTTTGCAAGAGAGAGTTGGTTGGGGAAGGGGGTAATCTGTCCGACCACAACTTAATAATTCATGTAGTTTTCACTCGTGACGATGTCCCTAAAATATCGAGTGTTTGAACATTGCCCCTGACAAAAGTAGGGTTTGCTAGAAATATTAAGTTCTCTAATATAAAAAAATGCTAAACCTCGTTTACAAAGAATCAACTTGATTCTTTAAGAAAGTTTAATAACTGATTTGGATTTGGGCTTGTTTTTCACTGAGATTAATAACTTGTTCAATATGCAATGGTTTCTTCTTGTAGGAATGGGCAGCCGAGAACTGTTCTGCACCATACCGAGCTCCTGAATTATGGGATTGCCCAAGCCATGCAGATTTAGACGAGAGATCTGATATCTGGTCATTAGGATGCACTTTATATGCAATAATGTAAGAAACATGCCCTTCATTCATTATATATTTCTATCATTCATCAGCTAATATTCTCAATCTGTGCTATTTATAAGTACTTAGTTGATGTCTTTACGAAATTAGGATCTACACCTAGGGATCAACTGAAAAAATTAGTTTACCTGTAAAGACTTTTGTTTCTTGAAGGTCTTAGATTTGGGTTTAGAGTTCGGTAATATTAAAAAATTTAAATTGAAATAATATCTGACTTTATATAAAGAGGTATTTGATGTGTAATATATTAAATGAAAATTAGGGGTTTAGTTTGATAGTTTTGGAGGAAAAATTTTGACGAATAGTAGAGACTAAAATCAGACTTTAAAGTGAGTTTTGTTTCATGACTGACTACAAGTAGAGATATTATTCCTGCTAAATGGTTCCTCTTGGATCTTGTTCATTACTTTCTTTCTTCTCTTCTCTCAATATATAGAGTCGACATTCATATTTTGTTCATATTGGATTGAAAGTTGTCATATATATAATGATACTCGCATTTGATAGGTACGGTGAGTCTCCATTCGAATACGCACTTGGTGAATCCGGGGGGAGTCTGCAGTTGGCCATTGTAAATGCGCAAATAAAGTGGCCAACGGGACCAAACCCGGGATACCCGGATGCACTTCACCAATTCGTAACATGGATGCTGCAGCCTCAAGCCACAGTTAGGCCTTGCATCAATGATATCTTGTTCCATGTTGAGAAGCTTATTACAAAATTTTCCAATTGAAGGAAACACACAAAAGAAGAAAATTCTTGCTCTCTCTTGCTTGCTTGCCAGGTAACAAAAACAGATTTAAATTATCTATATATTTATTTATATATATATATACACACACACTCAGACACTAAATTAATGTTCATTTTTGGCTGAAAAGTATTAGTTTCAGCATTCTAGAAATTGCTTTTTTTTATCTTATAGAAAATTATATGTTGTTAGTTTATGGGATTTCATTTTGATTTTTTTTTTATCCCCAAATAATATAATTTGGCTATTGTTATACCAATTTCTTCCCTCTCCCATTTAGCCCTTTATATTTTTATTTATTTTGAAGTAGGTAGGGTGGTAGTTCTATTTTTTTAAATGCTGTGTTGAATTGAGGTTTTTATTTACTACTATAATTTTTGGTTTTTTGCATCTTATTTTATTAAAACTTGACTCAAATTTATTGGTGTTAACATGTATTTAATCAATTCAGTCTTTGTAGAGTTACTTGCACATTGTTTGACACTTATATTTAAATTGCCATGAAAATTTAGTGCAGATGTTGTAGTTTAATAGAGTATGTTTTACTGTCTATAATAGTAAGGGTTTCAATCTCTGCTAAATTTATTTAAAAACTGTGTGATGAACCGTGTGTATATATATATATATATATTTAATTATATAAGAAATATGTCAAATCATATATAATTCTTAACTATTGCATGTAATGTAAATTTATTGATGCAAAATATAGTAGTACTATATTATAGTAACAACTGCAATTGTAGGTATATAGATATTTTTCACCAAACATAAACTTGGAAAGAATTTTATCCCTATTTTGTAGGTAAAAGATAAAATAAAAATAAATACATAACATATTCTTCATCGCATATTTTTGTGTATTGATTAATTTGGCCAGTCACTCTGAAGAAGTTTTAACACTAGTTAAATAAGAAAAAGTAAAACTCAATTTATCACTATATGTTTGTATCTCATTTTTCCTTTTTTTTTTTTTCATATAATATATGTGCAACACATGTATACATATGTATTTGTGAAACAGTTAAAAAAAAAGTATGTAGTATACCTGGTTTCATGAAGTTCTCGCTATTCTTGCTGGTCTTGATCTCCAAATAATTGCATTTGGGTCTGGACATATTTTATATGGAACTTTTTGTGGATGGAACTCGGGTAAACTGCCAAACAATCAAATAATAATAACACTAATTCACCAATAATGTATAAGGAGTACTCAAGCAGCAGAAATAGTTTTACTTTTAAATAATAAACTTTTGAATTGAAATAGTTGTTTGATGTGATATAAGTATATATTACTGTGATGTTTTGACACTAAAATTTAATTTTAGTGTAATATAATAAATAAAAAATAAGTTTTTGATTTGATGTTTTTGAGGTAAAAAAAAAAAAATAGAATAGTAAAACCGAAAATTAAATCATACAAGTAAATACACCCATAGGCTTTGTTCTTTTACCTAAATTTGTTTAGCACGTTTTTTCAAAAAAATTAATGCATTACGCACTCTAATTATTTTTATATTATTTACTTAATTTTTTATTCTTCACATAAAATATATTCTTTTAAACAAACACACCCTAATACTTACAATATAACAAACCATTACTATATATTTCATCTTATAATGATTTAATTAACTAAAAAAACTTACTATTATAATCCTATACTAAAAATAAACATACCTAATATGTAATCTACCCATGGAACATAAATATATATATATATATATATATATGCAGGGTCTTACCTAAGTGTAGATATTTCAATTTGTGAAAAGTCCAATTGGCTGGAAGAACCTTGTATCGAAATGGTTCTTGAAGTCAGACCAGTTGTTGGATCCTTGATGGCAAGAACCTTGCACTTCAAATTATTGATGGAGGTGTTTTGTCCCATTATCAACCTACATGGAACACATACAGTAAGAACACCAATAAAAATTTAATTAAATATAAATAATATAAAAAAAACAATCAAACTCCATTAGCTGATGAAGAAAAACCAAAAAAAAAAAAAAGTATGCATTATAAGTGATCATGGCATCAACTAATAGGTAAAGCTCTCCTTGCTGCCAATAGGCATCCATATTCTTTAGAATCAGAAGTGTTCACATATATATTTATATATATATATATATATATTTCACTATTTAATATAAAGTTCTATTAAAAATATTACATTCAACAATCCTTTTTAACTAAAAAAAGAATCAGAGTAAGAACCATCAAAGCAAAACAAAATATACGAAGTATATTTTTCAACATTTAGAAAATCCCAAAAGGAAAGAGAAGCAATGGTATTTGCACTCTCAAAAAATAAATAAATTACATTATGTATTTTACTTTAACTTTACAAAAATAACAACATTAAGGTTAATGAGTAAATAGATTTCAAACTTCCAAAAAAAATCCCAGATAATTCTATACCTTACTTATAAGTACACAATAATATTAACACTAATTAAAAATTAGTCAGCTTAAAATTTAAGGGCACAATTGAATTATTTTAGAACACCAGATAAGATAAAATCAAGTGAAATTCACTGTTGGCCTAAACCAAGAAAAGAGAATATAGTAACTCTAAAAAAAGAATAAGGCTGCAAAGAACATTTAACAATAATAAGTATGAATTCTAAACTGCTTTTATTTTTTTAGCTGTCTGTCTCAAGGTTGATGATTAATATGTATATTAAAATATTAAATAACTTGCTTGAGACAAGAATGCTGTTGTAACACGCACAAAAATGCAATCAATCCACTTTCTCTCATCAGCACTCAGATATTAAATTCCGGGAACCCTAATATAATAAATAATTTAATAATAATAATAATAATAATAAAGCTCATGGAATATGGAAGGAATAAATGCAGAAGAGTAAAGGACAAGGAGAAAAGGTCTTCCAGCAGAATGCAGAAACAGGGGAGGGCCATTTCTTTATAACACTTGTTCTTTCTTGTGAAGTATGGTAGGGTGTTGACCAACCACTTAACAATCTATGGTGACGCAACCACGCATAATCAATCATATCAAATCGAATTACCAAATTACCAATCACTGAGCTAAATTATTTGGAAATCGCCACAAGCAGGTAAGAACTATATCGAATTACTGCCTTGATTCTATTTGATTTAATCCTTTTTTACAGTTGATTGGTGAAATCGATTCGATATAGCTGATCATGCGTGGTTGCGTCAATCGAATTACTGCGTTGATTTTATTTGATTTGAATCCTTTTTCACCGTTGAATAATTCAAACACGCAATTTAAACTAATTTTAATTACCGGTAGAGGAAGCTCCGATCGTGTAGCCCTAGCACAAGCGTGGAGGCGCCGATCTCTCTCACCACCGCCGCAATCCTCCGTCCTTCCTGGTCGCCTTCCGTCACGACAATCTCCGTCTTCGTCTGCACCGGTCGCCGCCAATCTCGGATTAATTGATTAACTAATTAGCAGATTAACAACGGAGCGAAGATAAATAGAACTTCCGATAATTAAAAAAGTTAGTTACGTTGGGGAAGGCCTGGCAGATGTCGGTGAAGGATAGAGCTAATTGGAAGCCATTGAGGCGGAGGCGGCGGAGCTTCTTTTTGCTCTTGGACTTAGCGGAGGAATAGACGTGGAGGAGCGTGACGACGTCGCCGTAGCGGAGGAGGTTGTGCAGCGCCCAGTGGAGAGCGGTTCTGGCGACGTCGACGTCTTCCACCACCACCACGATTTTCTCCATTATTTCCGATCGCTGAGCGCTAATTCGAAAAATGATCAGTTCGTGCTGCGGTTTGGTCGCGCGCACAGTTTTCACATGATCTGTGTCTCTAAATTGTTTGGTCCAATGGACCGGGTTTACCCGATCCTGGTCCAATGGACCACACCAATCAACTTTCTTTATTAATCCGAATTTATTTTAGGTCATGGGCAACGTAAGAACCGGTTTGACTGTTTTCTTTCAACAAAAAATTAATACGTATTGGATCCTCAATTTCAAAAATAAATTCTATTTTTTTATCTCCACACAAATAATATGTATAGATATACATGTGTATGTATAGCATATACACATATGTGTTTATGTAAAGATATGAGATAGAGTGTGTTAATGAGACAGAAGATCCCGTCTGATATCCCATGGATTTAAACATATTAATATATTACACAATTTATTATTTTTATATTTTTAATATATCTTTTTATATTTCACATAATACAAACACATTCTTTTATATTGTGCACATCAATTTAAGAACTTATTCAAATTTTAATTATATCCGATAATAGAATTTCATGCTTCTTAATTTTTTTTATATCAATAATTATATTATTTGATTCCATATAAATTATACTCCCTCTATCTCGGCTAATTGTTCAATTTTGATTAGACAAAGAGTTTTAGGTATTGTGTAATTAATGAGTAATTAAGAAATATACTAGTAAAAGTAATTATAATTTAATAAATATAATTTTAAATTAAAATTAAAATGACTAAATAATTTAATTAAAATAAAAATAAAAATTTTAAATTTTAAATTTTAAAATGATAAATTAAATGAAACGGATGTAAATAACTAAATGAAGTTGGTATGGGAGTAGTATATTCCTAAGAGTAGAATGATGCCCAATGGAACTTTTAAGGAATGTAAGTAGTTATTTCGTAATAATGGTTTAATGATTGGAGAAATAAACTTATTGCTTGTGGAGGCCACCATACGTATAATACTCTCTTTCTCTATTTTGAAACTCTACCTTCACTTTTTTGGCACTTCAAGAAATCATGATATTTTAATTACATTGAATAGTTAAAAATAATATAAATATAATTTTATTTTATTTTCTAATATAAAAATAACAATGTAATAATAAAATATGAATTTTGGAAAAAAAAAAATGAGATTTATAATTATTTTATAATTAGATCATTTAAAATAGAAATATATATATTTGTAGTCAGATGAAGTATAATATAAAAAACATACTTATAGTTTTTGTTTGTCTCACACATTTTATGTTATTTTTTTATAAAAAAATTACAAACTTCAATTATATTTTAAATATTTAAATTTTAATTTTTTATTATAATTACTTAATTATTTTAATCTTAATTTATAATTTTTAAAATATTTTTACTAATAATTTCTTAATTATTTATTAATCACATTCTCTCTAAATTTCATTTTGTACAGTAATGGTGACATACTGAGAGAGAGTAGTACATTTGCCTCACCCAAATGTATGATATTTTTTATATAAATTAATATTCCTAATCTCACTATATAAATATATATATATATATATATATACATTCTTCTCGAAACAAGCTATTCATTCACATAACAAAGTATTTATTTATTTACTTTTTTTTTTAAAGTAATTGTATTATCTACTTAACATTACAAATACTCTTAGAATTTACAATATATTACACAAATATCATTATATTTATATCACACTATATTAATAAAGTTATTTTAATAATTTTAATTTTATTCTTACTACATTTCAATATAATACTAATATTTCTAAAACTAAGTGCAAAAAATAAACTGATATTTAGTTATGGGACAAATGAAGTATATTTTTTGTATTTATGTATTAAATACTAAAAATATAGTATATGTGTCGTTCAAATCTATATTTAGGGTTGTCATCAAAAAAATATTCTCAATGATTACACTTTTGTATTTTTTTTTTTAAAATAACAATTATTACTCACTTATATTAAAATCTGTGTCCGATCAAATGAGCGCACACATTTGTATAATGGATGAAGTATATAATAATATTTTTTAATTGATGTAAAAAGGAAATGTGTTTCTTTTTGTAAAAATAAGAACTTAATATATTACGGGTGTGTTTGTTTGGGGGTTTGGATTTTGAGTTGAGATTTGAATAGTAAAAAATTTGAATTTGAATAGTTGTATGATGTGATATAAATAGGTGTTGATGTGATATTTTGAATGTAAAAATGATTTTTAGTATAATATAAAAAATAAAAAATAACTGTTTTGATTTGGTATTTTTTGGGAAAAAAAATTGGATGAATAGTATAAATCCAATCCAATTCCCCTGACAAACACACCCTACATATATTTATTATTTTTATATCAATTATACAATTCTCTGTCTTTACCTAAAAAAATCTCTTTAAAACATTTCACAAAACAAGCCAGACTGTATAAGAATTTGTATTTTTATAATATATATATAGGGTGTGTTTGTTTGGGGGTTTAGATTTTGAATTGGGATTTGAATAGTAAAAATTTTGAATTTGAATAGTTGTATGATGTGATATAAATAGGTATTGATGTAATATTTTGAATGTAGAATTAATTTGTAGTATAATATAAAAAATAAAAAATAAGTATTTGATTTGATGTTTTTTAAGATAAATTTTTAGATAAATAGTAAAATTTTGTTAAAATCTTTCAAACGAACAAACACATGTTGAAATTTTGATCCTTTGACGCTTAACCCGAGATTCAATATGCCTACTTCCGGAGGACGCAGCCGACTTGGAGTCACCGCGTCGATCGATTTTTGCTCAACGAAAGCAGAAGCCGTAAAATTCTGGAATGAAGAAGACGAACAGGGAGAATTCCACTTCAATTCATTCTTTGGCTCTGTTTGTCTGTATTTTGTTTCCTAATTTCAAAATTCAATTTTGCCTTTACTTTGATTAGTTCTAAGTTTCATTTCGGTTTAAGTTTAATTTGAGTTTATTCGACTATTAATTCATTTCGAATTTTTGTATACAAGATTTGTTTGATAAATCAAAAAAATTGAGGAATAAATTCATAACAATACATTTGGATGGTAGATGAAAATAACAAAATACATTTTTAATGTGCATTTGTTTAGTGTTTTAATTTAAATTTTTTTTATGTGAAGCATGATAAATAGTATAATTAATATAAAAAATAATATTTTGTATTTAATATTTATTTTTTTTAACAGAATGAAATATATATTATATCTTTATTAACAAAAATACATTTAAAGAATAATTTCCATATTAAAAAATAAAATAAAATTCATTACAACTTTAGAAAAATTGATGTTATCGTCAATTAGGATCCCAAATTCCAAAACAATAACAATTAAGCGAATATATATCCTCAATGTGTGAAATATTTAATTTTTCGGACAAAAATTAATACAAATAATATTAAGTAGAATAAATTAGAAATAAGATGATGGCAAAAGAGAGAAGTATATATATATTGAAATAACGAGAGGATAAAATATGTACTTAATATGATGTAAATAAGAATTAGATATTTTATATACAAAATAATTTTTTTATGTAATAAATAATTTTAAAACTTCTAAATAACAAAAATAAGTGTCTTTGGGTGCATTTATTTGTGGGTATGAGAGTTGTATTTTTAAATCTTTGAGTTAAAATAATGATTGATGTAATATAAATATATATAGATAAATATTTTGAATGTATTTTTTTTTTATTGTAATATAAAAAATAAATGATAAATTTTTAGTAAAGAATCACCAACAAACAAGATCTTATCATTTTTTTTTTTTAAAATAGATTTTTTTTTTTGTTTGTTGAAAATACATATTGCTATTTTATTTATAAATAATAAATTAAAATATGGAAATAGTATATATATATATATATATTATTCATTTATCCCATCAATACTCGTTCACGTTGCCCGTGTTCGTTCTCACGTGTACAACGCTCCCCATTCCGCACTGAAAGAAATCATAGAAGTATTGTGATCTCGCATCGGATCTTCTCAATCCACATTCGCCGATCGCTGCTCTGCTTTGCGCCATTCAGTCTGTTCGATTTCCAAAATGCCGTCCATTTACGGAAGTCCTCTGACGACCTTCGAGGATGCCGACAAGGAGAGCGAGTATGGATACGTTCGCAAGGTCTTCTACGTTTCATTCTCACGCATTCTGTTTCTCTTTTCATTCATTTGTTTTGCGTTGATTGATTCTTTTGTAATTTCTATGAGTTACTTCGATGCTCTCTTCAGTTGGTTTCTGATTTCTTGCTTTTACGTTTGTGTCTCTGTTACACTTGATTTCTCTGTTTCTCGCGGATTTGTTTATGTGTTATCGCAATTTGATTAAGATCATTCACGAATCTTGGAATCGAATTTCTTTTCGAGTGCTCAAGATCCAGAGTCACATTGTGATTGCGTTTATGGTGCCTTTAGTTGATCTATTCCAGATGCACTTGGTGCATTGTTTTATATGGATCCTATATACGTATATATATATATCTATGTATGTATGTATGTATGTATACTTTCTTATTAGATATTCGCTCGTTTTGGTATTAGTTAACTGGCTTTTTATTGCATTTTCAGGCTTTCAAGCTCAGATACCGTAATTGTTTGTCAAACCTATAGTTTCTTACGTAATTTTTGCCTGCTGGCATAGCTGCACTTCATTAGTGGATCTTTATTTACTTCTTAGTTTTCTTTGTTTTGATTTTAACTATATCACTTAAGATCTTTTTATTTTCCATCCCAATTAAGGATTAGTATTTGGTAGCCCAAAATAAGGAGGTGCGATATGATTAATGGTATTTCTTCTTGTTCCTTTTTAACTAGGTATTACTTTGTCATTATAGCCTTTTGTCCTCTTTGGACCTGTGACAGATCAAACATTTAAATCTATATAGTCAACTTTTTTCGAATAGATACTTCATGTTCTGAAAGATCTGAAGATGATTTATGACATTTGTAAAACGGCATATTTTCCTGCAATGCATTAAAAGGGGAAATCAATGATATATAACATTTCTGTGTTGCTAATGGTATCAACAATTTTACAGATTTTTATGTTGAAAGGTATCTAACATTCCTATGGTATGTCTTACTGTTTGTCTTTTCTGCAGGTGTCTGGCCCAGTGGTTGTTGCAGAGGGAATGGCAGGAGCAGCTATGTATGAACTAGTGCGTGTTGGTCATGACAATCTTATTGGGGAAATTATTCGGTTGGAAGGAGATTCTGCAACCATTCAAGGTTAGAGTTTCTTTAATTTCTAAACCTCTTTGTCTGAAGTAAAATAGTATTGGGTGCTGCTAAATCTTCCTGGCACCATATTATGTATCCACATTTTCAACGTTAACCAAATCCAGAAAATGCCTCCAAGAAAACATCAGTACCTATCATTTCCTATTTATTGCATATATTTTCTATGAAACCAAGTCTGATACAAGAGTTTAGATATTTATTTTTATTCTATTGTTCTTCCAGTGTATGAGGAAACGGCTGGACTGATGGTGAATGATCCTGTTCTTCGAACCCACAAGGTTATTATGCTACATGTTTAACGTCTAGCTTTTGATGCATTGGTTTATCCCAGACAGTTAAAGAATAAGGCCACATATTTTACTCATTATTATAACCTTCACAGCCTTTATCAGTGGAACTGGGTCCTGGAATTATGGGAAACATCTTTGATGGAATTCAGGTCTGTAGAATTCACAAGTCAAAATTGAACAATGACATACATTTTCCCTGGCGTGACATTTTGTCTTGCTTAATGGTGCATCTGTTCTTGATTCAGAGACCTCTAAAAACAATTGCAAGGAAATCTGGTGATGTCTATATACCACGTGGCGTGTCTGTCCCAGCGCTTGACAAAGATACACTATGGGAATTTCAGCCAAAGAAAATAGGTACCTTAAACCATTACATTTGAGTCACATACTATTGTTTTAAATGGTTTCATTTTAGATAAGATGTAAATCAGCTTCTGGCACCTCATTATTATTTTTTTCTATTTTTAATGGCAGGAGAGGGAGATCTTATTACTGGTGGCGATTTGTACGCGGTATGTTTCCTGGAATGATGTGTTTTAGGGATATGAATGCATCATGTTAAGTGTCCGATACTGCCCTGGTCCCAATTGATCATCCTTTTTTTAATTCCATAACAATTTTCTATGCAGACTGTTTTTGAGAATAGCTTGGTGCAACATCATGTTGCACTCCCTCCTGATGCAATGGGGAAAGTAACCTACATTGCTCCAGCTGGTCAATATTCATTGAAGGTTTGCATCTATTGCTGATGCCTGTTGCACATCTACGTCAAATCACTCTTTTTCCCTGTAATATTCCCATGGGAAAATTGAAGTTCAGTTGCAGTTGTGGTATTGCAGGACACCGTCCTTGAGCTTGAATTTCAGGGGGTCAAAAAGAAATTTACCATGCTGCAGGTCTGCCTTTCAGACACAGATAGTATTTTGTTTGGTGATCAATAACTGGTTACTAATTGAACATCAAAATTTCAAGTTGTTTTAACTCTCAAATGTAGAATTGGCCTGTGCGTACACCTCGGCCTGTAGCATCAAAGCTTGCTGCAGATACTCCTCTCTTGACTGGACAGGTGACTTATTTAGTAAATTATCTTTATCAACTGCCACTCACATTTTCCACTGATGCTGAACTGTAGTGAGTATTCCTAAAGTAACTCCATTGTCCTATTCAGCGTGTTCTTGATGCTTTATTCCCTTCTGTGCTTGGTGGTACTTGTGCCATCCCCGGTGCATTTGGCTGCGGGAAGACAGTCATTAGCCAGGCCCTTTCAAAGGTAGAATATATTTTTGAAACCATCATTATTGCAAATAATTTGTGTTACAAATTTTAATGCATATTATAAACTTATGATTGATACTCTGCTGCTATGAATCGCAGTACTCCAACTCAGACACTGTAGTTTATGTTGGTTGTGGAGAAAGAGGAAATGAAATGGCAGAGGTACATAGTTCATGTCTTCTATAATTTGGTTATTTGCCATCTTCAAGACGCTCACCTGGAAGTCAACTACAGGTGCTTATGGATTTCCCTCAACTGACAATGACGCTGCCTGATGGTCGGGAGGAATCTGTCATGAAGCGTACTACTCTGGTAGCAAACACCTCTAATATGCCTGTGGCTGCTCGTGAGGCTTCAATTTACACAGGTAATAAATTTGCCAATAACTTCAACTTCCCAGCATATATGCTTCTTGCAATCAATATGTTTTAGGACTAAATTTTATATTCTATGTTCAACTGCTTTTCACTGTACAACCTCTTACCTGTTACTGGGCAGACTCATTCATGTGTTTCGAGATATTAATTGCAGTGTTATTTTTGTATGTCGTGGCTACTGTATGATAACTCACAAGCTTTATTTTTGGATGTTTAGGAATCACTATTGCTGAATATTTTAGAGATATGGGATACAATGTTAGCATGATGGCAGATTCTACATCTAGATGGGCAGAAGCATTGCGTGAAATTTCTGGTCGGCTGGTACGTATTCTAATATTGCTTTTCATTATCCGAAAGACTGAGTTTTTTCATTATTCTAATACATTGTGATTGATAGATCAACTTCCTCTATTGAAGTAAGACTTCAAATCTTCAATTTTATGAATATTATGATGGGATGATGAAAAAGTAAATGAATATATTCTTATGTTTTAGAATCCATAATACTCATAATGAAAATTTTAGAGAAGCATTTTTTATGGTGTAATATAACCTCCATTTCTTAAATAAATGCTTTTGGCTCTTGTTTTGTACTGTCATTTCAGCCCTTCTTTTTTGGTTCCATATGTGGTTTGTTGATGAACAGTGTGTTTCTTTTGCAGGCTGAGATGCCTGCAGACAGTGGATATCCTGCTTATTTGGCAGCACGTTTGGCATCCTTCTACGAGCGTGCCGGAAAAGTTAAATGTCTCGGTGGACCTGAAAGAAATGGAAGTGTCACCATTGTTGGTGCTGTTTCTCCACCAGGAGGAGATTTCTCGGACCCTGTTACATCTGCAACACTCAGCATTGTTCAGGTAAATTTTCTGTAGTTGGCACTTTCCTAATTCAATTTCCCTAGGATCAATGATCCACTCCCTTCCTTGCTGTTATGCTTTAGGTGTTCTGGGGTCTCGACAAAAAGTTGGCTCAGCGAAAACATTTCCCATCTGTAAACTGGCTAATTTCATACTCCAAGTATTCAGGGGTATCTTCTGTTTCCTCAAATTTATGATGATGTTAGATCATATCATATCATCATGTGCTGATTACCCTGTCTTTTCAGGCCCTGGAATCCTTTTATGAGAAGTTTGATTCAGATTTTATTAACATCAGGACAAAGGCTCGTGAAGTGCTTCAGAGAGAAGATGATCTGAATGAAATCGTGCAGGTATACATTTTTATTTATTTATTTTGTATTTTATTTTTTTATTACGGTTCATAGGAAATAGAACTCTCTAGCCAAGAGTTGTAAATGAATCAAATAATTTTGTACGACTCGATATTTTGATATTCGTATTCGAAATAAAAAATTACTTTTTCAATCAAATATTGGTATAATATTGAATTTAATCTAATACTCAAATTGAATCGAATAATTTGAAAACTATTTCAAATCGAATACGAATATTTTTTTCGAATCGAATCGAATACTACAGTTTTTTATTTGATTTGATTCGTGTACAACCCTACTCCAGCCCAACTTGGGTTATTTTGCTGCTTGCAGTTAGTCGGAAAAGATGCTTTAGCCGAATCCGACAAAATTACACTGGAGACAGCAAAGCTCCTGAGGGAGGACTATCTTGCCCAGAATGCATTCACACCGTTAGTCCTTCCTCGTCCATTTCTAACTTCTTTCGACTACATTTTAATATCTCAAGTTTGAGTCATGCTTAAACATTTCCTTGCAACAGATATGACAAATTTTGTCCATTCTACAAGTCTGTTTGGATGATGCGCAACATCATTCATTTCTACAACTTGGCTAATCAGGTGAAGTAGTCCCCACCCACAATGCCACTCATACATGTGATTGAATTATGCAAATCTTGTTTTTTATCTGTAGAACACAAAAATAACTCCAATCATTTTATCATATTCTGATTTCTTCTACTTCAAAGTGAATAACAAACCCGAGATGTACGCAGGCGGTGGAGCGAGGAGCCGGTATGGATGGCCAGAAGATAACCTACACGCTCATCAAACATCGCCTCGGCGATTTGTTTTACCGTTTGGTGTAAGCTTTACAGCAACACACCTTATTTGTTTATGCCAAAGTAGAAGTAATTCTATTGATAGTAGAATGGATACACATAAAGCATCCATTAAACTAGTTAAGATGTGAAATAGGATCTCAACTATAACCAGACAATATAATCCTCCAATCCATTTGTACTTCTATTAGAACTATCTAACTGATCTAATCCACAATGCAGGTCACAGAAATTTGAGGATCCAGCAGAGGGAGAAGAAGCCTTAACTGCAAAATTCAAGAAGCTTCACGACGATCTGACAGCGGGCTTTCGCCAGCTCGAGGATGAAAACCGGTGATCCTACCATGGAATCGGTAACTCAATCAATTTCTTGAGGCTCTCTTCTGCTCATTATTGCTTCAATTGGGTTAGCATTTTTCACCATAAGTATCATTCTTATTAAGTTGGGTAGGGTTGGGTTGGGTTGGGATATATAATAAGAGGGGCTGCATAAGTGTGTGTCCCATTCAGTCACAACTATGATAATCTGTGTTTCCAGCCGCTGCATCAGTGCAGTTATTTATTCACTTTTGTTAATTAGAAAGAACTAAGTAATAACATTAGCTTATTTGGTCCTGTCTCCTCTACCCATCCCACCCCACCCCACCCCCTGACCCCCAAATTACAATGGGACTCAAACTAGTCCCTGTGTCCCTACCCCTGAGAGTGTTTTCTTGAGCTTCTTGACAGTCTTGTCCACCATTTCTGCTGCTGATCTTGCTGAATCTTCAACCATAATTCTACTCTCATCCAAGCTCTTAACTACAGCCTCCTTCACCTTCTCTGCTGTCCCTTCTTCCTCTTGTTCTTCTTCCTCCCCACTCTTGCCTTGCTCTCTTCCTCCCCTGAAACTAGTAGCACCCATACTCATCAGTACATACACACACATATATATACACACATATATATATTTATGGGGAATGAATCTGGTTAGTTACTCTAGATTAGGGCAATAGGGAAAGCAGGGCCATCCTTGTTTGAAGGATGTCCAAACAAAATTGGGAATTAGGCATAAATCCCAAGTTGTTGGATTAGAGAAGAGATTCCTTGCAGCTTCAGTTATGGCCATTTTTGTGCCTCCTGTAGTAACTTTTTCCTCTTCTTCTTCTTCTCTATCCATAAGTTGTCTTCCATCTTGTGCAATTGCTAATGTGCAGAAGAAGAGGATGAACAGCAGTATGAGAATTGTGGCTCGTTTTTGAACCACCAGCTTGCTAAAATTGGCCATGGATGAATCGAACATAGATCGGCACAAAAAAAAAGTGTTTTTTGTGTTGTGGTTGGGATAATTAAGAGTGAGAATATGATGTGTTATATTATTTATTTAAGATAATTGAAGCATGATGATGTTTGTTTAATTAAGAAGAAAGTAGAGGAGGGATGGTTGAGGGAATGTTGTTGTTTTGGGTTTGGGTATATGTGTCATGTGTGACACGGTGGTGTGCAGTTTGGGCAACACGAACACGGTGGGGCCCGCTGCTATATGCTTACGTGTCGTCTAACTTGGGAATTAAAGAACTAGGATAGATTTTCCCGTGCCCCGGCGGCAACGCATTTTCCCATTTCTTCCTTGCCTTGGAAAGACACCCGTATTCCTATTATGTGTTACAGTAGTTGAAAAGGAAAAGAATAATAATAATAATAATAATAATAATAATGTTATTTAAAGTATTATATTGAAATTTATTCACGTTTTAATTAATTTGTTTGTATTTTTTTTACAACTTTATTTATATTAAAATATTTAAAAAAAATGAGTTTATTTACATGTGTATGTACAAATATCTTATTGTTGTTTGCACATATATATTCTTTGGAATGAAATAGTAGTCCTAAAAAAGCGACTTATTAATACAATAGTTATCACAAGTTTTGTAATAAAAAAGATAGTAATAAAAAATTACAAGTAAATGTACTAGAAGATGTTCAACTATTTGTTGATCATATTTTATAGTTTTTTTCCTTTTAATGATAGAATCTGCAATTGCTATATATATATATTTTTTAGAATCTGGGCGAATCTAATATAGTTTGCCAATTAAGTTCAGTCAGATAGTTATATTAGACAATTATGTGTGATTGGATGTTTTGCACTCCATGATCTCACAAATTTAAAATTTAATAAAAAAATAATAATAATAAGTTATTATTTTTGGATGCTTTGAAGTCCAGCCCAATTCACAAGAACTTCGTAAAGCCCAAAAAGTGGACTTCATCATAAGACTCACTTTTTAGCTCAAATATGGCTCCCACACCCAATATAGCCTTTACATGCATAGAAAAGAATAGCATTTTTTTTCATCGTATATTATGCACATATAATTATTATTATTATTATTATTATTTTATTTTATTTTTTTTCTTTCTGCGCTCATCAAATTTATATAATTACTAAAAAAATTGCGTCATAAACGAACTTACAATACGGTTTACATGTCCTTATCATGATCAAACATATTGCGTCATAACTCATAAGTGATAAGTCAACCATTAAAATTGTTTAATACGCACACTATTTACATACATATTTTCTAGAAACCAATATAACATCAAATGGCGGCAACTACAATTTTATGCTGAACAATACTTACCGTGTTAACAAGCAATGCACATTACATAGCATGTGCTCGGTATTTTCTCCCACAAAACATTATTCACATACTGTTTTTATTATTTTTAAAATTTTCTAAAACTTAAAAAGCCTCTATCCAAACAGAGCATAGCTTGTCAAATTTTTTTACATAAATTTCTTATACCATCCATACAGACTATACAGTTCTGAAATATATATATATATATATATATAATTATCGCAGCAGCAAAATAAAACTATAGTGTGACGTTGAAGCTCAAAACAGAACAACAATTAACAATTTCCCACCTATTACACTTTCAACACACTCGAAAAATAAAAACTTAGTGCAGCCTAACACCACACCAGCCCCGACCATGTATGCAACAAACATATAAACATATATATATATTATATATATATAGCATGACACCTTTGTAAATTCCAAATTTTTCTTGCCATATAAATACAACACAAGAAATGTTTTTTTCTTTACCTGGAATGTCGAGAAGGGAAAAGCCTTACTGTCCGAGTCCTTGCATTGTAGTGTGGCATTCTTCATAACAACCCCGGCTAACTAACAGAAACACGAGTACGCGAAGTGGTTCTTCTTCGACACATAGTGAGAAATGAATTCTTCGGAAGAATGAGAGGTGGAAGAATCAGGAATGTTTGTGGGGACGAGTATCTGTGTCCTGCCAGACCCGATTCTTTTCCCGGCTACATTCGCATAGAACAGCCCGGATATGGCTGGCACAAAAACATCGCTCTCTGAAGAAATGTAGAAGTCTATTACCTCCTCGTATTCCCAGCTGTCTGCGCCGAGGAACTTGTCCTTCTTCTCCATTGGCATGATCGAGCTCTGCATTCATAAAGAAGACTTAGTTAGGTACCAGTCGAGGCTTGAGATTTAATCGTATAGTTGTTTGTCTCTGTGTTTGCGGCTCCATTTTTGCACTATTCATTCCACAACTTAGATTAGATATATATTTTCTATTCAAAACATTACATTAACGATCTATTGTTAAATTTAAAACATCATATTTAATCCACTAAAAATATTTTCGTTTTTGTCCACCAAAACTGTACTCATATGTTAAAAAAGTCGAATCGTTTCTAAATTTTTACCCACTAATTTTACATCAATTTACATCAATGCCACTAGTATAATTGGCTATTACATACAACGTACTTTAATCCAATGCCAATGGTAGATTTATAGAACAAAAAATGTTGTCATTGTACTTACTATAATTAGTTAGCACAACGACGACAACATATGAAGTATAAACAAACAACAAAAGTATATGTAAATGTATTATAAATACAACACATGAACTGACTGTATATGCTGCCAAACTTTATTTCATGTGTTAATTAGCTCTAATCAAGTAAGAAAAGTTAGCGTTCGTTTGGCAGATTTTACTGAATTTCTACTATTTATCAAAAAAATTTCACTAAAGAAAACATCAAATCAAATAAATATATTTTTATTTTTTATATTATACTAAAATATAATTTTACACTCAAAACATTACATCAATACTTATTTATAATCCCATCATATATAACTATTCCAATTCAAAAAATTTACTTTTCAAATCCCGACTCAAAATCCAAATCTCAAACAAACACACTCATTGGCCCCTACAATACTTAAGGAAAAATATAAAAAAAAAATATATTAACATGCTATTTCTCTTAACCTAGTGATCTTAAAAGCATTAATAAGAGATGTTACCTTTGTATATGTTTTAGGAAAGACTTTCTTTAGAGCATCAAGGTTTGGATCCCATTTTGTTTGAGTAACATACACTGTGGTGTCCTTTTCGAAGCCAATCGACCTCAAAAAGTGCGCGATCTCTTCGGCATTGTAACAGCTTTTGGATCCAGAATCATCGTTTTTATGACATCCCTTTTTCTCCAATATGTCGACCCTCAAGTCAACCGCGACAAACTGTCCATTGGACTTCCGGCTGATGGTTCTTAGCCGATCCAGCATTGAATCAATCACTTCACGAACCTCTGGTTGTGGCTCCAAGGTTCCAAACATAGCCAAACATGCAATGGAGTCGGCATTGGTTCTTTCTTCGCCTTTTTTCATGTTCACCGATGGGAAGTAAGTGGTTAGCCTAATGTTTCCCTTGGCTCTGAAAACTGGTTCGATGTTTTCAGCAATTTCTTCTTCGGTAACTCGGTTGGGGACCTTTACTACTGCAAGTTTACGGGCTGTTATTCCAGTAGGAAGAGTTTTGACTACTTTCACCACACCATTGAGGGTATTTATGAACTTATCGACATCATAGACATCTTCGAAGTTCCTGAAAAATGTAAAAAGCACTTTGTGTCAACAATAAAACATCATTTGCAACAGACAGGATCTTTCACAAATTATAGTAAGGTAGTCAAACACAGTGCTTTAACCTCTTGTCGCCGGGCTTGCTTCCTCTAATGTCCGGGATTACCAGTGTTGCGCGAAGGTATCGTGCTACTACCACAGCATCGGCAATCTTTAGAGGGAATATTACAAGCATATACAATCGTTAGATAAAGAATCACAAAAATAGGCAAAGAAAATTGCAGCAGACCAAGAAGTTTTAGGAACATTCGAAAGGGGACTCAGCGACACATATTGAGCAATGAAATTAATGAGACAATGTAACTGTCTACTAATAAGAACCTTATTGCCATAAATTCGAAAACAGAAAAGGAATATATGATAGACGACGATACCTGGGAGACATGGTATTCGGGGCCATTAGTTAATGAGAATGTAATGTGCCCTTTTGATGCATCAGTCTCCTCTGTCAAACAGATATCGAATAAGCAAACCACATCAGGGATAATTGAAATTGCAAGGGATAAGCACACATCCAATAAGCAGATGAAAATATGTATTATAAGTCTGGTAACAATCAAATGAATTCCTCCGGGGAGAAGAAAAGAACTTTCAGCATAATTGCAAGGGATCTAAAGTGGGAAAGATCTAAAAGAATAAAGCTATGCGTCAAAAGTATGAGCGAGAAATGTCATAACACAAAAAAAAAAAAAAAAAACTGAAATTGTTGAAATCCTTTCTCTTGGATGGATTCTCAATATTAAGGAGTGTAACCAAATAGGTATGTTAGATAATTTTTCACGACAAGTTACAATGAATAGAAATATTTTTCATATCATCTTTTGGTAGTTACTGTAAATAATGTATAAAAAGCGTAATAATACTTGCCCAAAACTGGCTTCTCCCAGCATGGCTTCAAGGTAAGTCCATCCTCCTTCCATGGACCGTCGTCCTCTTTTGTGACAGTAGCAATGCCCTGCTCTGATACCTTATTTGAATTGTGAATGACGGGCTTCATACATAGAAACAACACCAGATCATCAAATCGAACAAGGTGTAGAGTATAAATAATTTCGGATTATAATTTAAAAACTTTATACTTGATCAATTAGTATGTTATAGGCAGATTGAAATGATGGATTATAATTCATTAAGAGCGTATAGCAGTTCTTCGTCTGGTGTTCATAACTTCATACCCTACGCGATTTTAGTACATTCAGATGCAACAGAATACCAACACCAACATTGAAGAAGATGATGAGATAAAACTGTATATCCATTAGAAGCTCTCACTAAAAGTTGAAGATCTATTAACTACCAACTACCAACAGCAGTCAACGAAGCCGAATCGAATCGAAGCATGAACGCACATAACAACAAATCTCCAGATTCACACACAATGCGCGACAAAGTCAGCTCACTTGCAAAAACAACAGCTCAGATCAAAGCAATGCATAACATGTCAGAAAATCTTAACCGAACAAAAACCAAACCAAACCAAACACGCAAACTGCAAAATACCAACCAGCAAAACTCGAATCAAATTAGAACTCATATCCAAAATACAAAATAGCAGTAATAAGAGTAACAAACCGGATCGAAGTGGTCGCGCTTGATCATATCCCCCAGCATTACGAACATTGTAACCGTCAATACCCCCGCCAGTATTTGCCTCGGATCGACAGCCATTGATAGATTCGGTTCAGATCTCGGCTCTCTCTCAACGCATCAACACAGCACACGCAACCTCTCTACCCTAGACTGGAAAGCACAGAAGCTAGAGCGAGAGAGAGATGGAGTTAGAGAGAGAGAGGCAAGCATAGATAGAGAGCAGGTGTATGTATATATGTATGTATAGAGTGTGCAGTTTCTCAGCTTTTGGAGCACCGACAGCTTCCCCGAAAATGATTGGTTGCCTAATTATCTCCCCAATTTTATTACCTATTTATTTATTTATTTGTAATTTTATTTAAGGTGTGTTTGTTTAGGGTTATAATTTTGAGTTGTGATTTGAACAGTGAAAAATTTAAATTTGAATAGTTGTATGATGTGATGTAAATAGATGTTGATGTGATATTTTAAATGTAAAAATAATTTTTAATATAATATAAAAAATAAATGTTTGATTTAATATTTTTTAGAGAAAAAATTAAAATAAATAATGTATTTAAGGGAGAATCCCAAAACAAACACACCCTTAATTGTTTGCTTGTAAATTACTCTCTCTCTCTCTCTCAACCACAGTCAAACATTGACTTCACTCTCACTTATTGCATTTCTATCCTTACATTCATTTGTTTGGTAGTTTGGATAGTTTTGAGGTTGGAAAGAAATTTTTAATTAAAATAATTATGTTATGCCATATAAATAAATATTTATTTAATGGGTTAGCTGTAAATGTTTCTTTTTTTCTAAAAAGCTCGTATTTAAATAAATTTTTATATAAATTTTTATTATACATTATTTAATACTTTCTTCAAATTAAATTTTTCTCAAATCTGTAAAAAAAACATACCCTTAATTTTTTGCATATTATAAAACATAAATTTTGAATTTAATATTTGAAAAAAATAATAATTCTCAATATTCTTCAAACAAAATACAATCTACAATCAATGAGAAGTCTTTTTTGTATTTATATTTTTTGGAAAATATTTTTATCAAATTTGCGTATTTTCTTCTTCTTTTACTTCCTCTTTTCTATTGTCAAAATTTGTATGCTTATTTTCGTTATTCATCTTTTCTTTTCTTTTATATCTGAAATTAACCGTGTTTATTCAATCAATTTATTGCAAATCATTTAAGATTATTATTTAGATTTTTTTAATAAAAATATATTATTTTTTTTATAAAAGATAACATTAAAATACTGTTTCAATAAAATTCAAATCCATAATTTATTTCAAATTAATTTATAGCATAACCAAACAAACCCTAAAATTGTACTTTATCGGTCGATTCACAAAGTATTTGCTCATTTTACAACTCATTGTACTCCCTATTAGATATAACAATTTGTTTTTTTAATATAAAATATACTAATATTGAGTATTGAATTATTGATTAATATATTATATATTATGTTAATATATATACATTGTATTTTTTGTAAAAATTTATAGTAAATCGTATTACTTAAAAATACTAAGTGAACATAACTTATTAATGGCTAAGGATTAAACCCTATGGACTGTTGAAAAAAAAAAAAATTGTACATTTTTTAATGAATTTTCGAAATTACTCTCACAAATTTTGAATACTTTTTATCTTATAGGACTAAAATAATTATATTTTACTTTACCGTTAATTTTTATATTTATTTATATTATTATAAAATTATAAACAAATCTATAATTACTCTTTCTTTTATATAGTTCTCTATTTTTTGAATGTATCATACTAAAGATTTATTTATTTATTTTGAAATTAGAAACAAATCCCTAAATGGATGGGCCAGTGGGTGATCTGTTGATGGGGTCTACAGGGTGAGTTCTGTTTTTCTCTCTTTTTTTCTTCTTCTTCTTCTTCTTCTTCTTCTTCTTTTTTTCTTTTTTCTTTCTTTTTTTTTTTTTTTTTTTTTTTTGGCGATAAAAAAATATTCTTATTTTTTTTTAAATAAAATATTATTACACTTTGGTATTTTTTTTACTAAAAAAATAAAAATTATTACTTATTTTTATTAAAATTTATATCCGATCAAATGAGCATACATTTATTTATATAACGGAGGGAGTATTATTCATCTATTTTTATTCATTTATTTAATTTTTTCCTTAGTTGTCTTGTTTGTCAATCTCATTCAAATTTATACTTTTTTTTTTGCTGTTATAAAAAAATATTCTTGTTTTTTTTTTAAATAAAAAATTATTACACTTTTGTATTTTTTTACTATAAAAAAAATAATTATTATTACTTATTTTTATTAAAATTTGTATCCGATCAAATAAGCATGCATTTATTTATATGCCGGATGGAGTATTATTCATCTATTTTTATTTATTTATTTAATTTTTCCCTTAGTTGTTTTGTTTGTCAATTTGAAGGAGCGAGACAAGAAACATTCTACATAATAATGCGCAATAATGTCGCAACTGATTGAGGACGAAGGAAACTACCCACCTTTTTTTAGCTTTAAAATTTTCGTCTCTTTCTGACTAAAAAAGTTATTGCAAGTATATTAAAAGGGTGTTTATATATATTTAAACTAATTATTGATAAAAAAATAAAAAAATAAAAAAATAATGGAATGTATAATTAAATTATCAAATTACTTGAGTTTATAATAATAAAAAAATAGTAGTATTTTTTGTTATTCGAATTTATATTCAATTTTTTTACTGTTATAAAAAATATTATTATTTTTTAAATATAAAATAATATTCACCAATAAGAGATAAAATTGAATATAAAAAATAAAAATATTAATTGCTCTTTGTTGTTTATTAATTTTATTTCATTCAAAAAATATTAAGTAAAATATTTTTATTTTTTATATTATACTAAAAATTAATTTTACATTCAAAATATTAAGTAACACCTATTTATATCACATTATACAACTATTCAAATTTCAAATTTTTTTTATTCAAATCTCAATTCAAAATCCAAACCCTCAAACAAACAAACCTCTTTTTACTCCATTCGTACACTTATTGTGTCTATATTGTTTTTATTACATACCAATATTTTATTTTAAAATTTTTAATTTATAATTTTTTAAATTTTAATTAGATTAATTAATTATTTTAATTTTAATTTATTATTATTTAGATTATAAAATAATTACTTTTTAAATTATATACTTAATTATACTTATCCTATTATTTAAAATGTTTTAAAGACTCCAAAACTCGTCTATAAAGTTTGTCTAAACGACCAGATGTGTGTTATTCAGTAAGTTGAAGGAAGAAGGGAAGAAGTAAAAGGCAGGTAAGAAATTCCCCCAATTACATCATCCAAGCTAAAGCTCGAATGGTTGGGCAGTTATGGATTATTGGGCATTCATTCTTACATTCGCCGTGAAGTTTGGTTGGAATCTGGTGCATTCCACTCCACTCCAATTGCATTGCCTTGACTCATCCCCGTTTGGTTGGTAAATCTCTGTTGATTTCGATAAAGAAACCCCAACCATCTTCTATACAATCCATAAAGACAAAGTGCCCTGCCCACCATGTGTTCGACGAAATGCCTGACTGAAAAATGGACGATGAAACACCTGCTGTGCGTGATCTTCTTGCCGCCAGAGAAGTTCTGAAGAGTTGCATTGAGGAATCGAGGAATGTATCCATTGCTGTCGATGGAATCGGGCTGAGATTGCTCGGTCTGCAGCGTAATTTTGGATGTTTGCAGGCTGCAGTGAAGAATGTGGCTCGAAAGTGCGCCGTCTATGGCATTCGGGACGACGTTGGCAGAGCTTTGGGGCCTGCAGCAGGTGCTCTGAGGGTAATGGACTTGGTTTTTGAGCTTAGGGATTCTCTTGAATCCGGTCGAGGCGACGCCGATTTGTTCGATTATATCAATAATTTCAGGCGCCTCGAAGATGCTTTGAAGCTTCTTTCTTCTAATTGTGGATTGCTGATTCTGTGGATGGAAGATGTCTTGCAGTTTTTGAGAAACAATGTATCTTATGACGACGAAGGCTGGTTTTTCGATCGAGTTTCGAAGATTTTGGAAGTGCTGGTGGAGCTGCAGGGGATGGAGGATTTGTTTCGTCGCGAAGGAGGGGTTTTGTTGACTGCGTGTAATAACTTGGAGAGGGAATTTGAGAATATTTTGAAAGGAGCCGAATTTCGATTTTTAGGCGATTCTTGTTTGGAACCTGTGATCGTTGAGTTGCAAAGCGTCGCTGAGGTTTTGGAGGAAAACAATCGTCTGGATCGATGCTTGTCTGTATACGCCGAAGCGCGGATAGAAAATTCTCGAGCTACATTGCAGGCCCTGAATCTCGATTATCTGGAAATCGAATCGTCTGAAGGAGTAAGTGTTCAGACAATGGTGGATTACGTTGATCTGTGGGATGAACACATGGAGTTTTCGGTGAGGCATTTGCTGCGGAAGGAGTTCGCGCTGTGCAGAAAGGTGTTCGAAAGATTCGGATCGGATGTATCGACGTGTTTGTTTGCAGATATTGCGATAAAATCCGGATTCATGGAAATCCTTGAGTTCGGAAACACGGTTTGTAAATGCAAGAAAGAAGCGATCAAGCTGTTGAAGCTGATCAAGATATTCTCGACGATGGACAAGCTGCGACTCGACTTCAACGACCTGTTCGTCGGGAAACACTGTCTGAAGATCCAAAACCAGACGCGGGAACTCGTCAAGAAAGTCGTCGACGGCGCCTGCGAAATCTTTTGGGAACTCTCGGCGCAAGTCGAGCTGCAACGGGAATTCGATCCCCCGCCAGATGGCAGTGTCCCGACGTTAGTCGATTTCGTGATCGAATACTGCAGTTACCTACTCGACGACGAGAACATCTCGATTCTTACGGGAATCCTCGAGATATATCAAGTCTGGAACCAAGTGAAATTTGGAGACGGGATTGTATCGAACGAAATCCGCAACATAATCAAAGCGGTCGAGATCAACGTGGAGATTTGGGCAAAAGGATACGACGACACCGCGCTTTCCTACCTATTTATGATGAACAATCACTCGTATTTATGCAACGAGACGAGAAAGTCGAAGCTCGGCGACCTGATGGGAAGTTCTTGGCTGTGGGCTTACGACGAATCCGCGGAATATTATGCGGGATTGTACATGAGGGAGAGCTGGGAGAAGCTTCTGGAATTCTTACAAGAAGAGGACTTGACATTATTTCCTGGGGGCAGAGCTTTCGATCGAAACCTCGTCGACGAGAGAGTCGTCGCATTCTGCGAAACGTTCGACGACATGTACAAGAAGCAATCAAAATGGAAACTTTACGACAAGGGCTTGAGATGGAAGACGTGTCAAATGGTCGTCGAGACGGTTGTTCGACCGTATAAGAACTTTTTGCAAAAATACATGCCGGGAGTCGAGCACGAGAATGAATTGACGAACAGGGTAATGTACACGGCCGAGAGCTTGGAGAACATGATTAGCGCACTTTTTCAGCAGAAGATTGGCGTTTACGGGAGCGTGAAATGTACGGATATGATCGGGATCAAGAATTCGGGTGTGACTCACTTCCCGTCGACTCCCGCCGCCGCTTGATCGTAAGGTTAGTTCTGTTTCAAATTTCTCGAGTTTTAGTGATATTCGTCGAAATTACACTTCATGTTTTAGTGTGGCATAGTTCTATGGTGAATAGTATGGCATTATGTTCGTATAATAGGAGCTTTGGTTGGCTCTGTTTGTAAATAAATCCATAATTGATGTATATTCAAACAGCTTAAGGTGAGAAACGATCATTTATTTCATCTAACAAAAGGAGAATCAAATTAATTTATGACCTATATCTTTTTAAGTTAAATTGAACTGAAATTTTTGTTTGATTTCAGAAAATGAGTCAAGTTGGAGCTTAATATACATCATTTTAACTTGGTTAATTATATATATATATCACACTACTTAGTATTAAAATTGAGTTTTATATTTGATTTATTTTGTGAAAAAAAAAATACTAAATATATTTTTATTAATAACAGTATAAACTCAATGATAAATAGGTTGGTCTGAAGTTCAAACCTAACAAACATGTACTATATTGGTATCTAATCCTTCTACTAAGGGTGTGTTTGTTTGAAGGATTTTGGAGGATTTTCACTATTCATCCAATTTTTTCCCTCAAAAACATCAAATCAAACACCTATTTTTCATTTTTTATATTATACTAAAAATCAATTTTACATTCAAAACATCACATCAAACCCTATTTATATCACATCATACAACTATTCAAATTCAAAATTTTTACTATTCAAATCCCAATCCAAAATCCAAACCCCCAAACAAACACACCCAATTTTTTTGAAGGATTTTGGAGGATTTCCACTATTCATCCAATTTTTTCCCCCCAAAAACATCAAATCAAACACCTATTTTTCATTTTTTATATTATATTAAAAATCAATTTTACATTCAAAACATCACATCAAACTCTATTTATATCACATCATACAACTATTCAAATTCAAAATTTTACTATTCAAATCCCAATCCAAAATCCAAACCCCCAAACAAACACACCCTAAATAGATTTTTGTACTTTGAAGTATATGAACTCATAATCAGTCCACGGCAGGTAGTCCAATATTTGGGAAAAAAATGACAGAGACAGTAGTTGCAAGATTTCAACTAAACAAATTGAGTCTATCAGAGAAAGCAATTTTCTTTTTGGACAGGAATAACATTTCACTTAGGTTGTTAGGAAACGTATCCACTACTCTTCAAGTACTATTTAAATAAATTTTTGGACAAATTTAATATCAACAATATACTTTAATACGATGTTCTTTCATATATATATATATACTAACGAAATTAGCTCTAAAATTTAAGGGGGGCAAAATATTAATTCACTTATTTATTATTTTAATATTGTAATTTTCGACTTCTTCCAATGGAACCAAATAAACAAAAAAAAAAATAGTTAAAAATTAATATTTTAAAGAAATATTTAAAAAAATTCAAATAATTTCTACTAAAAAATATATTATAACCTAAAAGTATAAATCAACAAAATTATAAAAAAAAATTATTATTTTTTTGCACTATAACATAAAAAAAATATATATATATATATAATTTTATTATTTTTTACATTAAAACAATTCTATATTTTAGGGATTGAAGATTAACTGTCCCTAACCCCTATAGTTCTGTCTTTCTCTCTCTATATATATAGATATATTATCGATAAATAATGATGAAAATTAATTTGAAATTTTAATTAAATAGAACCTAATTTGTTTTATATAATATTTAAAATGAACAATAATGACTCCATAAAAGCAACTTTGAATGTAAACAATACCCTCATACAACCATTCAGTACCGCTTGTCTGCATTATGTTAGAATCACGCCTCATCTTTCAAACCAACCTTAATAAAACCTTCCCTTAGTTAGCCATTTATATATCTTATATATATTATAAATATTTTTAAATTTACAACAACAATTTCATTAAGTTATATTCATTGAAATATCATATCAAGCAGACAGTGTAGAAATCATGTAGAAGAATCGTTTTATAAGTTACATTCCCTCCTTTTCAATGTATTTGCTATTATTTCCATTTTAGAATATTCTAAAAAAATATCCTTAATTATAAGGATAATCGGAAGATGATCATACATACAGTGGGCTACAGCAACAGCTACAGCATTGAGCAACGATCACAAAGGGTAAAATAAATCCTTCTAACTCTCCGGCTGAAATTGAAAAAAAGGTCCGAAATGGTCGAGCAATAACAACGAAACTAATAGTCAAAATATAGATACGAACGATAAAAGAGAATAGGAAAAAAAAAAAAAAAAAAAGGCTATCTTAGTAATTTGGTGAATAAGAACATTCAGGGAACACTACACAGGATAAGAAAAACATCCCCAAAAACAAACAGTATAAAATATGTGCCAAAGGCTCTAGGTTCTCGACTAGTTTCGGTTATTTGGTGCCCGGGCAGTACCTTAGCTTAGCTCAATATTCCGCAGATCCAAGGCCTCGTCATCCTCAAATCGAACCTGCATAATACTTCAGATTTTCTAAAATTTTCACTAGCAATCAATGGTGCGATTTCGTAATCTCTAACTAGAAAATCAGAATGGGCAAGAAATGCGAGTTATTCGATCACTAAATGATATGCTTAATGAAGGAATGTTCATCACTAAGGTCATTAGCAAATGATGATATCGAATGAGCATGACATGTATGAAAAAGAATCAGACACATTTTCTTCAAAAAAGAAATCAGTCGAAGCAACATGCGAATACAAGTGTTCATACTAAGCACGAAAGGAAACTACTTTATCAAGAAAATCGAAGGCCACAGAAGATTGTACATAAATAAATACAAACGCCGCACACGCAAAGTTGAACATGGAAAAAGCAACGATATAAAAAATCGAAACAAAACACACATATATATGGCAATGCTTAGGATGCATGCCTAATAATCTTTAGATATAAAAATGCACACCACGCCTAGTGTATGAGTGCCGTTAAAAGTGCATTTCAGTTATATGAGAGAAGATAATGCCGATGGTGATGATGACTTGATGATTAATGAATGCATGCAACGGCAGTGCTTTGTATTTCTGAGAGCATAGAGTACAGAATACGTCCCCTGCCGACTACTGGTAGGTCAGCATTACTGGCGACACGTTTATGTTGGAGCCTGCCGCGTTGTAATTGTTGTCCTTTCTTTTCCCGAACGGGTTCTTTGAATATGTATCTCGAAAGTCAAGGAGAAATAAAGTAACTATGAAATTGCATTAGTTAGTCAGCTCTATTTATGTAGAAAATTTTGACGCTATCAATCAAAAAGTAACTTTCTTAAAAAATATCATATCAAATATCTATTTTCTCGCACACAACATATAGTCAAATGCTCAACTTTTTACTACTTTAATGAGTTAAATAATAAATATAAAATCAAGAAAGTAAACAGCAACCATAAAAGGCGAAGAATTAATTCAGAAAATGGTGATTTAACAAAAGGATATTGAATACGCATGCCGACAGTACCCGAGCTTGGAATAACAGCTCCCTGTAAGGTGTGGTGAACATTTGTTGCACTGTTCACATCCTGAATAACGCAGCCCAAATTAATTAGGATGACCGAGAAGAATAAAGAAAATTGACTGGGACGACTAAAAATTTGAGAAAACTAGCAGCTCGATTGTAAGTTCAGATCTTACTTCAAATTCGATGAAGCAAACAGTGTGCCTTTCCTGTCTCAATAGTTTCATCTGCTTAAAACCGGGTTGGCTGCATTTTCAGAAGAGTATAAGGAAATGGTTAATTCACGACAAATCTGAAGCATTCAACAATACATTTTTAAAGGTGCAAAATAACGATGAATGTGAAAAACATACACGCTGAAAAGGCCCCGCAGCTCTTCTTCATTGATATTCTCACCAAGATTGCCGATGAACAGGGTATTGCACGGGGGGTTATCTTTGGTATTCTGCAGAAGCATAATCCGGAAGATTGAAGAAACAAATAATAAACCAACATCAATAATTCCTTCTGTCACGCAAGCAGATTCATTCAACATAAAAAGAGTGCTTGAACACACACTTAAGACACAATAATCGATTTATATGCGTCCACGAACAGGCATACTTGCTATGAGTAATGATTAATGATTGCTAACTAACTTCTGGAAAGAAATCATCATCAACAGAAGAATGCTTCACCTGAACAGGTAAATAACTACTTGGTGAGGGTACGGGAGGTGGTGCAGGCATGGGTGCAGGAGGAACAGCGTAACCTGCATACGGATCATACGGTGGAGGAGCTGGGACCATATATCTGAACAACAAATATGAAGGGAAATAAAAAATGATATTTCAATGTGTAGAAACTTCGACTCAAAAATCGCAAATTTACAATTAATGCCTCAGTATAATTCACACTCAAAAACAGCAGTTAGGGACTGTTGGGTATGAAACGACACCATACCCATGTGGCCCCCAAACAGCTTGTGGGGAAGGATGAAATGGAGACGTTGAATAAGCCGTATGTGTATAGTCACCGCCTATCCGCATTCGTTTGCTTTGATCATAAGCATTTGAATCTGCAACTATCCCTATGAACGACAAAACCATTACAACATCATATACTTTACATCTGTCGAACTATCACATTTTTGCAAGTAAATAAAAAATAAACCTCACCCCTTTTCACAAAGAGATTTTTCTTTGCCATCTCTGTGTGCAAAACAGACTTAGAATCTGCATCAAACACCATATCCTATATGGAAAGACATTAACAAAAACCTATATAGTATATGATCCAATCCTTGCAATTAATACAGCAGCAGAGTAAATTACAGAAATAAATCACCTGAAGTGCGTCTTTAGCTGCAATAGCATGCTGTTGAGTGGCGAAAAGTGCAAACCCCATAGGATGCTCGCCTTTGAAGTTCACCTGCGACGCCTCGTAGCCTGGCAGCCATCTCAGCAAATTTTGGAGCTCTCTCTCCTTCACATCCTCGGGCAAACCCGAAATGAATATGGTACGTACCTAATGCACAATTATCAGTCGCCATTAATACAAACGACCACAATAAAAGCAACATACCACTCAATACCTTCTAACCCTAAGAACAATAATTCGGATACGATACTCTCTGCACCGCTGTAACAAGTAACTGCTTCGTAACATCAAAAATTACAGAAAGCAAAGAGACGCACAACAAAATAAACAAGTCGCAGAAGCCCTACATAGAAACCCTAAAGCCAGGAATACCAAATCACACCTCCTAATTTTTTTCATAATTTCCAGAATTACAGCTTCAAAATTAAGATTCATTGAAATAAGTACCGTAAGAGTCCATCAAACACACCTCCTCAGAGTGAGAGCGTGAGGCCGGGCTATCCATAGACATCGGCGGAGCGAGGGGGAGGGCAGGAGGAGGCGGCGGTGGAGTCACCGGAGGAGCCGCTGGAGGCGCGGCCGCTGTAGGCGCCCATTGCTGGTGGTAGGGGTGCATTCCCGTGCCCGCCATAACGGCCGATCGGTCGGAATCTCAGAGATACCTTCCCGCAGAAATAAAGAGCTGAAATTGTCCGAACGCCGAGACAGACAGCCGAAGACATGTTCATTTTATTTTGATCGATATTATATTATTTTACACATTAAAAAAAAATTAAATTACAGGCTGGCCTGGGCCTGGGCCAGGGCCCGGCCTAATTAAACTACAGCCCAACCCAATGATAAATATTGAATAATACGTTGACTTAGAACACGGCCGTTTTAAAGGGACACGGCCGTGTTAAGTATTTAAAGACGGAGTTTCGTATACTTGTATTATTTTTTTTTACATAGAACACGGCCGTTTTATATGGAAACACGACCGTGTTAGGCTTTTAAAGGCGGCGTTACGTATACTTGTATTATTATTTTTATAATGAAATTGAAGTCAAATAATTGAATTTGACTATTGAGGCAGTTTATTAAGGGTGAGAGTGTAATTTGGATGGATTGATTTAAGTGATCGATGCAGTGATTCAAACTGAATTTCCCACCAAAGTTATACTGCTCTTCTCCCTACTTATCCACCCTTCTCCCGTTTCAGCAGCCGTAAGTAAGTAACTATACCAAATACGCTCTTCAATTCCCTCTTCCACAACACCCCAACAGAACAAAATCAAGAAAACCCAGTTCCCAACAATGGAGGAAAACCCCCATTTTCCATGGCCGCCGTCTCTCCTTTTCTTTATTATCGCCGCCACGCTGCTCCCAATTTCACATTCTCAACAACAGAGTAAGACCCATTATCAATTTTCTTGATTTCTTGAAATTAATCATTAGCTTCTGATTTTCCGATAATGTTGCAGGCCCTTCATACCTGAACTTCGTCTCCAACGCGACGGATTTTCCGGCGGAGGATTACTTCGACTACGTGATCGTCGGCGGCGGCACCGCCGGTTGCCCACTGGCGGCGACGCTCTCGGAAAGATTTAAGGTTCTTGTTCTTGAGAGGGGAGGAATCCCCTTTGGGAACCCTAATTTGATGACCCGAGAAGGGTTCCTCACGACCCTGACGGAAACCGACGCCTACGAATCTCCGGCGCAATCTTTCACCTCCGAAGACGGCGTCCCCAACGCCAGAGGCAGAGTTCTCGGCGGCAGCAGCGCCATTAACGCCGGCTTCTACAGCAGAGCCGACCAGGAGTTCTACGCCAGGTCGGGAATCAATTGGGATCTCCGAACGGTGAATCAATCTTATCAATGGATCGAAAAAGCAATCGTGTTCCGCCCACAGCTGAAAAACTGGCAATCCGCCGTCCGCGACGCGTTAATCGAGGCCGGAATCGATCCGTACAACGGATTCAGCCTCGACCATCTCGCCGGCACCAAGATCGGCGGCTCCACCTTCGATAGCGCCGGCCGCCGCCACAGCGCCGCCGATCTTCTCAGCTATGGCAGCCATAAGAACATCAAAGTCGTCGTGCACGCCAGCGTGGAGAGAATTCTAGTGGCGTCGTCTTCCCCAAACCCTGATCGGAAACAGAACGCCATCGGCGCCGTGTTCCGGGATCACTTCGGCGGCTACCACCACGCCATGGTTAAGGAGAAGGGAGAGGTTTTCCTCTGCGCCGGCGCCCTCGGCAGCCCTCAGCTCCTCCTCCTCAGCGGCGTCGGGCCGCGGCCGTACCTCGCGTCGTGGGGGATTCCGGTCGTCTACCACCAGCCGTACGTCGGCCGGTTCGTCTACGACAACCCTAGAAACGGAATTTCAATCGTTCCGCCGGTGCCGTTGGATCATTCCTTAATCCAAGTCGTCGGCGTCACCGCCGCCGGGACATACCTCGAAGCGGCGTCGAACATCGTCCCGTTCGCCTCCCCTGCCCGCCCCGTCTTCGTCGCGCCGCCGGGCTCCTCCGCGTACCTCACGGTGGCGACGCTGATGGAAAAGATCGTCGGGCCGGTCTCCGCCGGTTCTCTCCGGCTCGCCTCGACCGACGTCCGGGTTAACCCGATAGTCCGGTTCAATTACTTCAGCAATCCCGACGACCTCAAGCTATGTATGAATGGCACGCGCAAAATCGGCGAGGTGCTGAAAAGCAGGGCTATGGAGGATTTCAAGTTCCACCATTGGTTCGGTTCACGAGACTTCCGATACGTCGGTCCGCCATTGCCGGCGGACCTTTCCGACGATGCGCAGATGAGCGATTTCTGCCGCCACACGGTGAACACAATCTGGCACTACCATGGCGGATGTCTGGTCGGGAAGGTCGTAGATCGCGACCTGAAAGTCATCGGAATCGACGGATTGAGAGTGATCGATGGATCCACGTTTACCGTCTCTCCAGGGACCAATCCTCAAGCTACTGTCCTAATGCTGGGAAGGTAAGATTAATATTGATTGATTGATTTCATTCCGCCATTGATGATGTGTGGAGAAGACCCTAAAATTTGGGGATTTTGTCTGTTTGCAGGTTTTTTGGTCTGAAGCTGCTGAAGGAGAGACGTGACGTGGCCAAGAAAAAGAAATAGTGACCAGGTAAGTAATTAGATCCGCCATTGTTGTTTTGGAAACTTAGCTTGGCTGTGTATGTAGGATTTTTCTTTCCTTTGTTTTTTTTGAGGAGGTAGAGGATGATATTAAGCAAGCAGTGGGATTGAGATTCATTGAAGATGAGGAGGAATGGGATCAAAAGTGATAATGATTTTGTAGTGTTCTTGGCATGAAAATGAAGAAGCTGTGTGTTGTTTGTGTTTGTTGATCGATGAATTTTAGGGGCAAGCAATGTAATGTAGGATTTTATTTCTTTGATTCTTGTTAAAGTCTTGTGGCTGGTAATATTCGATTTTGTGCTTCTGGAAATTTGTGATAATGATGATCATCCTGCTAATTTGGTGCCCACTCTTCACTGAATGTTATAGATTCTTTTGGGTGTGATTGGGTTATTATTTTAAAATATTGAATTTCAATCATAACTATTTTATGTTATATAAATCAAATTTTATGTAATATTTTAAATTTAAAAGTTTGATTTTTAATAGTATAATATACTCGTTTTCTCAAATTTTAAAGTATCTTTTGGAATTTTATCGTAGATTAGTATTTTTGATTTTGGTATTTTTATCTCTTAACTTAATTTTACTTATATGTGTAATAGTATATTTATAATTTAAGTAAAAATTAATCATACTTCCATATTAATATCCTAATATAGGAAAGAAATAAAAATGAATATTTTGAAGAAGGCCAGTAAAAATAGTCATTTGAGTGAAAAATGAAGAAGTAAAAAATAAAAAAAAAAAATAGATATTTATTTCGTCTGCTCACAATGTATTTATTTTGTCATTTTAGTTTATTTAATTGCATCTGATTTTATATCCATATTGCCGTTTCTGTCTCCCTATATGCCATGTAACTTTCTTTTTTTGGAAATGTTTACACACTTTAATTTCATTTTAAACTTTTTAATTTTATTTTTTTTAATTTTAATTAAACTAATTAGTTATCTTAATTTTAATTTATAATTATTTATATTATCGATAATTATTTTTACTAATATATTTTTAATTATCTACTAATTACACCCCTTCTAAAATACTTGACACTAAAAATACTTCACACTAAAAATACATATACACTTTATCCAATATTATTAAAAAATAAAATAAATTCATTAAAAAACAATTGAGTTCAAGGATAGAAATATTATTTTTACCGTATGTATATCATTTTCATTAAAAAAAACAATTGAGTTTAATAATTGAGTAAAATGAGATCTAATTCCAATTTTAGTGTTTAAATAATGGGAATTAAATTTTGAGAAGTTACACAAGTATGCATTATAAATTTATATTCCTTAATGGTAGTTTATGTTATTTTATATAAATTAATTATTTTATCTTTATATGTTTATTCGTGATTAAATGATATTTGTGTAAATAAATATAGTTAAAATGATATTTGTATTATTGTGCAATGAGATATATATTAAATAAAAAAATATAATCATTGCAAATAGACAATTAAAAAAAAATATGGATGGAAGGAATATTAAAAATTTGTTATTTTGTAAAAAATTTTCAAAACATATTTTTTCTAAAAAAAATAAAATTAATATATTATACATACTCATTATTTTTATGTTATTTATATAATTTTTTATACTTCATATATATATATTTCATTCAAACTAAAATACAAAATAAACACACTCTAAATTTCAATTTGCACATATTTTATTACTATTTTTTAAATTCTTAAAATAAAAACATTATATATAATGGAGTATCTATATTAATAATATATTTTATATTAAAAAATAAGTATTCAATGCTTACTAATTGGTCACTTATTTTAATTTTATTATTTCCTCCGTTGTGTTATTTTTCATTTATATTTGTATCAAAAGAAAGATTTTATTTTTTAATTTAATAATTATACTTTATACCTATAATAATAAATATTTTTACAATTTATAATATATTATATAAATATTGTTATTTTTATATTATATAATACTAAAAAATTACTTTTATTTTTTTTATTATAAAATAATACCCCTCAGTCCAAATACAATAGTCTTGTTTACCATTTTTGTTCGTTCCAAAACAATAGTCTCATTTCTATAAATAACCATATCACTATAAAACTACCTTTACTTTTTTATTATTATTACACAATTGTCACTACTTTTTACACTAATACAATCACTAGGACAAAAAAGTCTTTTACCCGTAAAAAAAACGAGACAAGCGAGTATATTATTAAAATAATTGAAAATATCAAATCAACTTTCAAAATTTATGCATTACAAATAATTTGTGGTGTTACTTTAAAAAGGACAATTATAAAAATTTACATTAAATATAATCATCATATCTATACTAAATGACTAAATACTCTTCCCCTCATTTTTCATCGTATTCATTTACAATTTACTTCTATTAGTATATAAATTAAAAAAAAACAAGAATATAAATATCATTAGAAATATAATAGATAAATTATAATTTTAAATAACAATATATTTATAATCTTAAATAAAATAACAAAAAAAATTATTATGTCTACGAAAATCGCGAGTGTATTTGTTTTGCAAAATTATTGAAAATAATTCTCTCTATTCCAAAAGTATAGTCTATTATATTGGATGCAATATTTAAATAAATATTGATATTATATTGGTAGTCGTTTAAGGATAAATGACTTTTTTGTCCTCGTGAGTATATTAGTGTAAAAACTAGTGGCAATTGTGTAAATATAATAAAAAATATGAATAATTTTATGGTGATATAATTATTTATGAAAATTAGATTATTGTTTTAAAACGGAAAAAAATAATAAATAATACTATTATATATAAAATATAGTAAATTATGTAAATAATATAAAAATAATAAAACTGAATAATAACTTATTTTTTTATAAAAGATCGTATAAAAAAAATTTAGAAAGAAGAAAGTCCGCCTATGTTTTACGTCTCAACTAACCTCCTCCAAAAAAACTAAAATATAAAAAAATAAAATTAAATATAATGATTTGTTCGTAGTGTATCTGTGTATGCGCTACTTCTACGCAGATTCAAACTCTCCTCCTCTCGTAGTTTTCCCAACTTTCTCCACATAAAACCAGGCCCGGGATCACTGCGCCAGATTGTACGGACGCCCTCCGGAATCCATCAATGGCTGCCATCTCCATTTCCTCCGCGATTCTTCCCACTGCCAAAACCCCCAACGACGCTTCTACACGCAACAACAAGGCATCCAATCTTCCCTTCTCCTATTCTACCGTTTCTCTCTGCAACCGCTGCCTCTCCACCTGCAATTTGAAGATTCCCCTCTCCCGCCGTCGCGTCATTTCCAGCGCTCTGCAGACCGATTTCCCGTCCGAAACAAGTCGCTCGGCGTCGGCGAAGCCTACGATCTTGGTCTCCGAGAAGCTCGGAGAGGCAGGGCTCGATTTGCTCCGGAAATTTGGGAACGTCGAGTGCTTGTACAATTTATCGCAGGAAGAACTCTGCGAGAAGATTCGTGACTGCGATGCGCTGATTGTACGGAGCGAGACGAAGGTGACGCGCCAGGCGTTTGAGGCGTCGCAAGGAAGGCTGAAAGTCGTCGGACGAGCCGGCGTCGGGATTGATAATGTGGATATTCATGCGGCGACGGAGTTTGGTTGCTTGGTCGTCAATGCGCCCACGGCCAATACGGTTGCCGCCGCCGAGCACGGAATTGCGTTGCTTACTGCCATGGCGAGGAATGTCGCGCAGGCAGATGCGTCCATGAAAGTCGGTAAGCTGTATATTCGATTTTGTCGGTTTTCATTCAGTTTTTTGTTTTCTTAACGGATTCAGTTATGGTTTTATCGAGGAAGTTTCTAGAGTTATATATGAAAAAGAATTCGAGGATTTGATGATGATTTGCATTGATACAACTCTGCATGCCAATTGCAGAAAGTAACGAATTTCTTTTCTGATTGTGGAAAAGAAGAGGTTTAGATATATTCTCCATTGATTCTTTCTGTGTTTCTTTGTGAACATTTGTTTGAATGAGGATTTATTCATATGAATTGGAATATAGATAGAGAATGAGTGAGTGAATGTAGAAATTTTGTTGTGATCAAAGTTCTAGATTTGGCCATTGTTGTGGAATATGTACGATTTCTTTTGGAAGAATTCCGCATGTTTCTTGTGGTTTAATCTTTCATGTTTCTTCAGTTCTTGTGATCCGCGATGTCTTGTAAAAAATACTTCAAAACGTTTTGAACATTAGAGCTTTAGACATGTGACAAGGCCTTGATTTAGCCTTCGAATCTATGTGTGTATATATATATATGATTTGTTGCTTGAAGAACCAGTTATATTTCTTCTAGTTTAATCATTCATGTTTCTGCATTTCTTGTGATTGTTTGTCAGTCTTGTAAGAAACACTTCAAAGGTTTTGTATATTAAAGCGCTAGAAACGCGACGAGCCTTTGATTTGGCCTTGGATTTTGCTTACATTTGATCTATGTGTATATACATGATTTGTTGCTTGAAGAATCAGTTGTGTTTCATGTAGTTTAATCATTTGCATTTCTTGTGATCGTCCTCTGTCCTGTAAGAAATTTTTTTTGGATATTAGAGCCATAGAAACTCGACAAGGCCTTGATTTGTTCTTCGATTTTGTTTACAATGGATCTATGTGCATATACATGATTTGAGAATCAGCTTTAATCATTCATGTTTCTACGATCATCGTCATTCTTGTAAGAAAGACTCGAAGATTATGAATATTAGAGCTTTAGAAAGTCGACAAAGCCTTTATATTTTGTACGACGATTGATTGTTTCGACAGGAATATGGCAACGGAGCAAATACGTCGGAACTTCTCTTGTCGGGAAGACACTGGCAGTGATGGGATTAGGCAAAGTAGGCTCTGAAGTCGCGAGGCGAGCGAAAGGACTTGGAATGAACGTCATCGCCTGCGATCCTTTTGCTCCGCCTGACAGAGCTCACGCAATTGGCGTCGACTTAGTCTCCTTCGACGAAGCCATCTCCTCTGCAGACTTCATCTCTCTGCACATGCCTCTTACTTCTTCGACGAACAAGCTCTTCAACGACAAAACGTTCTCGAAGATGAAGAACGGCGTGCGCATCATCAACGTCGCCCGGGGTGGAGTTATCGACGAAGACGCTTTGGTTAGAGCTCTCGACGCCGGAATCGTCGTGCAGGTATGCAAACTACACCGATCTTTTTGTAAACTCGAGCAGTCGAAATCTATCAATATCCTAAATTTACGATTTCTTTTTAGGCTGCGCTCGACGTGTTCACGGAGGAGCCCCCGCCGAAGGACAGCAAACTAGTACAGCACGAGAAAGTCACGGCTACGCCGCACCTCGGCGCGAGCACGATGGAAGCGCAGGTTCGATTTCTGCCGCATCGTGTTTTTTTTTTTTTTTTTCTCAAAATGTCGATTCGGTAACATCGACGGAGATTTTCAGGAAGACGTGGCTGTCGAAATAGCCGAGGCTGTCGTCGGCGCGTTGAAAGGAGATCTCGCCGCGACTGCCGTCAACGCTCCGGTGGTTCCTCCGGAGGTACAATGCAATCTTCGTCTTTTTTCAACGAGAAATTGAGTTGAGTCGCACTTTTTTTTTTTTTTTCGACGAGCAGGTTATGTCGGAGTTGGCTCCTTACGTCGCGCTAGCGGAGAAGCTCGGCAGGCTCGCCGTACAATTGGTCTCCGGCAGCGGCGGAGTCCAGTCGGTGAAGGTGATATACACTACGGCGCGGAGCCCCGACGACTTGGACACTCGACTTCTCCGCGCGATGATCACGAAGGGAATCGTCGAGCCTATATCCAACACCCGGATCAACATCGTAAATGCCGACTTCGTCGGGAAGCAGAAAGGCCTCCGAATCAGCGAGGAGCGGATTCTCTCCGGCTCATCGCCGGAGAATCCCGTCGAGTTGATCCAAGTGCAGATAACCAACGCCCGATCGAAATTCGCGAGCGCGGTGCTTGACAACAGTGAGATCATCAGCGTCGAGGGCAGGGTGAAACGCGGGATGCCGATTCTGACGGGTGTCGGAGCATTCGGCGTCGACGCGAGCCTCGAAGGGAACCTGATACTGTGCAACCAAGTCGACCAGCCGGGGATGATCGGAGAAGTCGGGACCATCCTCGGACAGCACGACGTGAACGTTAATTTCATGAGCGTCGGGCGGACGGTGAAGCGATCGACGGCGATTATGGCGATCGGCGTCGACGAAAAACCTGACAAAAAGGTGCTCGCGAAGATCGGCGAAGTTCCGGCGATCGAAGAGTTCATATTCCTTAGCCTTTGAAGAAAAGGTTTCTCTAATGACTAAGTGAATTCTATGTGAAGAATGTTTTTTTCTTTAGAAAATATTGTACGGCTTCTTTTACTGCCTCGTTTTAACTGATAGAGTATAGGCTTTTAGGACGGTCTTTTTGACATAAAGTGTCATTGTTCTTGAGAATGGTTTATCTTGATATATATTGTATATATCTAGACATATATATCCTTACCCAATATATCTTTTGTATAAATATAATATTGTATAAATATAATATTGTACCCTAATTGTAAACAATGAAATATAGTTTATTCAATTAATCCTAACATGGTATCAGAGCTATAATTTTTCCCGATCAAATCGAAATAACTCACGCATTCCAGATCGTATCTTTTCGACCACCGCCGACCATCACCGCCACCACCATCGTCTTCGCCGCCACGAGACCGGCCGGACTCCGGAACAGATCGGAGAACGGCAGCGCGTGAGCCTCACACGCGCCTGACGAGATTTTCGGCCGGACACCTCGCCGGCGCGTGGAGGCGCGTGCGGCGGCCGTTGGCGGAGATCTTTGTACCGTCGTGTTCGCAATTTAATTTCCTCCGCGATGGTATACTCACTTCTTCCGTTTGAGCAGTTTTTTGTATCCGTCTGATTTTTCGTGTTTCGAGTTTGATTCGATTTTGCTTGCGTTTTTGTCGTTTTGGCTTTCGGCTTGAGGTTTGAGATATTGTCTACCCTTGATTTTTTATGGAAAAGATGGATGTCCATATTCCGATAAATGTTGTTATGTCCGGAGATAATTACAGTTTGTGGGTACAATCGATGAAAAGCTTTCTGATAGGTAGGAAATTACGGTGGATTGTTACGGGGGATATAGTTGCTCCCGTTGCTCCGGTTTCTATAGGAGAAGTTGCGCCTACCGCCAAAGTTGTTGAATCATATATTGAAAAATTGAAGGATTGGGACAGTAAGAACCATCAAATTCTCACTTGGTTGTGCAATACTTCCACTCCGGCGATACATGTGCAGCTTGCCCAATTTGAAACTGCCAAGGCAGCGTGGGATTTCTTGGCAGTCTGCTTCCGTGCTACTGGTTTGGCACACTATTATCAGTTATGGAGCACTCTCCATGATCTAAAACAGGAACCAGGACAATCTATCAACGACTTCCTTGCGCAAGTGCAACCCCTTTGGCATCGGTTGGATCAAGCTGAGATCAGTCCTGATCATCTTCGCCTCATTCAGGTCTTGATGGCTTTGCGTCCAGAGTATGAGGCAGTTCGTGCCTCTTTGTTATATCGGCACCCACTTCCTACCTTGGATGCAGCTATTCAGGAGATTTTTTTTTGAGGAAACTCGTCTCCACCTAGCCAAGGCTCTTCTGCTTGATTCTGCTCTTGCGGTCACCGCCCGAACTCCTACTCAGAGTCGTTCCCATCGCTGCAAACGATGTTAGTCTTCTGATCATGACTTCGGTCATTGCCCCAAGGTGAAGTGTCACTACTGTCATGTTTTAGGCCATACTATACAATATTGCCCTACTAGGCCGTCTCGCTCTGGCAGTAGTAACTATAAGCCTCGGCATATTCGTCGACCTCCTCAGTCTAGTATCTCATTTGTCACAGCCTCTGCCCCGCCTGCGCCTACGCCTGTGCCTACTACGATTCAGGACCAGGAGGCTCTTCTTAAACAGGTTCTATCTTCCAATACCGCAATGCCTACCACATCAGGTAACTCTCCTTGGTATTTTGATTCTGCCTACAGTAATGCTGTGCGCCGGCGTAGACATCGACAATGATTATTTCGCAGGTTCACCTGTAAAATCCTTGTTTCGAGTTCTCTTTTTCTCTAAACGATAACGCTTGTCGGACTTCTCGCGATGAGGCGGGTCCGTCGGCGCCCCTGCGCTAATCCTCGATCGCAATATACGGCTGGACGACGGGTCTGTGAACAGCAGACAAGGTCATCGTTCGCGATTTTTGGCCGCGACGTGCATTGCAGGAAATCCCTTTTTGATGACTACATATTCACGAAAATCCGTGCAAGAGTTTTTCGGGACGTCCACTCTGTCTTGATGGACGGCTGTGCGGCATTCGTACGTCGGGTTACGAGTTCGCTGCTGTCCGCCTGGGAAGACATCGACAATGATCCTTTCGTAGGTTCACCTATAGAATCCTTGTTACGAGTTCTATTTTCTCTAAACAATAACGCTTGTCAGACTTCTCGCGATGACGCGGGTCCGTCAACATCCCTGCGCGAATCCTCGATCACAATATACGGCTGAAGAATGGGTTCACGGTGGACAAGGTGGTCGTTCGTGATTTTTGGCCGCGACGTGCATCGCAGGAAATCCCATTTTGATTACTACATATTCACGAAAATCCATGCAGGAGTTTTTTGGGATGCCCACTCTGTCTCGATGGACGGCTGTGCGGCATTCATACGTGGGGCTCACGAATTCGAACGACGACCTTGTCTGCCGTTCACAGACCCGTCGTCCAGCCGTATATTGGGAATGAGGATTTGCACAGGGAGGCCGCCGGACCCGCGTCATCGCGAGAAGTCCAACAAGCGTTATCGTTTAGCAAAAAAGAGAACTAGTAACATGGATTCCGTAGGTGAACCTGTGAAAGGATCATTGTCGACGTCTAACCCGGCACGCAGCAGCGAACTGGTGACCCGAAATACGAATGCCGCACAGCCATCCATCGAGACAGAGTGGGCGTCCCAAAAAACTCTTGCACGGATTTTTGTGAACATGTAGGCATCAGAAATAGATTTCCTGCGATGCACGTCACGGCCAAAGATCGTGAACCACCTTGTCCGACGTTCATGGACCCGTCATCCAGCCGTATATTGCGAACGAGAATTCGCGCAGAGACGCCGCCGGACCCACGTCATCGCGAGAAGTCCAACAAGCGTTATCGTTTAGAAAAAAAGAGAACTAGTAACATGGATTCCATAGGTGAACCTGTGAAAGGATCATTGTCGACGTCTGCCCCGGCAGACAACAACGAACTAGTGAACCGACGTACGAATGCCGCACAGCCGTCCGTCGGGACAGAGTGGGCGTCCCAAAAACTCCTATACGGATTTTTGTGAATATGTAGGCTTCAAAAAGGGATTTCCTGCGATGCACGTCAGGACCAAAAATTGCGAACGACGACCTTGTCTACCGTTCACAGACCCGTCGTCCAGCCGTATATTGCGAACGAGGATTCGCGCAGGGACGCCGACGGACCTGCGTCATCGCGAGACGTCCAACAAATCTTATTATTTAGAGAAAAAGAGAACTAGTAACAGAGATTCCATAGGTGAACCTGCGAATGGATCACTGTCGACGTCTGACCCGGCAGACAGCAGCGAACTCGTGACCCGACGTACGAATGCCGCACAAACGTCCATCGAGACAGAGTGGGCGTCCCAAAAAACTCCTACGCGGATTTTTTTAATAGGTACGCATCAAAAAGTGATTTCCTGCGATGCACGTCGCGGCCAAAAATCCCGAACGACGACGTTGTCCGCCGTCCACGGACCCGTCGTCCAGCCGTATATTGCGAACGAGGATTCGCGCAGGGACGCCGACGGACCTGCGTCATCGCGAGACGTCCAACAAATCTTATTATTTAGAGAAAAATAGAACTAGTAACATAGATTCCATAGGTGAACCTGCGAAATTATCACTGTCGACGTCTAACCCGGCAGACAGCAGCGAACTCGTGACCCGTCTTACGAATGCCGCACAGCCGTCCATCGAGACAGAGTGGATGTCCCAAAAAACTCCTGCGCGGATTTTTTTTTGATATGTAGGCATCAAAAAGTGATTTCCTGTGATGCACGTCGCTGCCGAAAATCCCGAACGACGACCTTGTCCGCCGTCCACGGACCCGTCGTCCAGCCGTATATTGCGAACGAGGATTCGCCCAGGGACGCCGACGGACCCGCGTCGTCGCGAGACGTCCAACAAATCAAATTATTTAGAGAAAAAGAGAACTAGTAACATAGATTCCATAGGTGAACCTGCGAAATTATCACTGTCGACGTCTGACCCGGCAGACAGCAGCGAACTCGTGACCCGTCTTACGAATGCCGCACAGCCGTCCATCGAGACAGAGTGGATGTCCGAAAAAACTCCTGCGCGGATTTTTTTTTGATATGTAGGCATCAAAAAGTGATTTCCTGTGATGCACGTCGCGGCAAAAAATCCCGAACGACGACCTTGTCCGCCGTCCACGGACCCGTCGTCCAGCCGTATATTGCGAACGAGGATTCGCGCAGGGACGCCGACGGACCCGCGTCGTCGCGAGACGTCCAACAGATCTAATTATTTAGAGAAAAAGAGAACTAGTAACATAGATTCCATAGGTGAACCTGCGAAATTATCACTGTCGACGTCTGACCCGGCAGACAGCAGCGAACTCGTGACCCGACTTACGAATGCCGCACAGCCGTCCATCGAGACAGAGTGGGTGTCCCAAAAAACTCCTACGCGGATTTTTTTTTGATATGTAGGCATTAAAAAGTGATTTCCTGTGATGCACGTCGCTGCCGAAAATCCCGAATGACGACCTTGTCCGCCGTCCACGGACCCGTCGTCCAGCCGTATATTGCGAACGAGGATTCGCGCAGGGACGCCGACGGACCCGCGTCGTCGCGAGACGTCCAACAAATCTAATTATTTGGAGAAAAAGAGAACTAGTAACATAGATTCCATAGGTGAACCTGCGAAAGGATCACTGTCGACGTCTGACCCGGCAGACAGCAGCGAACTCGTGACCCGACGTACGAATGCCGCACAAACGTCCATCGAGACAGAGTGGGCGTCCCAAAAAACTCCTGCGCGGATTTTTTTAATAGGTACGCATCAAAAAGTGATTTCCTGCGATGCACGTCGCGGCCAAAAATCCCGAACGACGACCTTGTCCGCCGTCCACGGACCCGTCGTCCAGCCGTATATTGCGAACGAGGATTCGCGCAGGGACGCCGACGGACCCGCGTCGTCGCGAGACGTCCAACAGATCTAATTATTTAGAGAAAAAGAGAACTAGTAACATAGATTCCATAGGTGAACCTGCGAAATTATCACTGTCGACGTCTGACCCGGCAGACAGCAGCGAACTCGTGACCCGACTTACGAATGCCGCACAGCCGTCCATCGAGACAGAGTGGGTGTCCCAAAAAACTCCTACGCGGATTTTGTTTTGATATGTAGGCATTAAAAAGTGATTTCCTGTGATGCACGTCGCTGCCGAAAATCCCGAATGACGACCTTGTCCGCCGTCCACGGACCCGTCGTCCAGCCGTATATTGCGAACGAGGATTCGCGCAGGGACGCCGACGGACCCGCGTCGTCGCGAGACGTCCAACAAATCTAATTATTTGGAGAAAAAGAGAACTAGTAACATAGATTCCATAGGTGAACCTGCGAAAGGATCACTGTCGACGTCTGACCCGGCAGACAGCAGCGAACTCGTGACCCGACGTACGAATGCCGCACAAACGTCCATCGAGACAGAGTGGGCGTCCCAAAAAACTCCTGCGCGGATTTTTTTAATAGGTACGCATCAAAAAGTGATTTCCTGCGATGCACGTCGCGGCCAAAAATCCCGAACGACGACCTTGTCCGCCGTCCACGGACCCGTCGTCCAGCCGTATATTGCGAACGAGGATTCGCGCAGGGACGCCGACGGACCCGCGTCGTCGCGAGACGTCCAACAAATCTTATTATTTAGAGAAAAAGAGAACTAGTAACCTAGATTCCATAGGTGAACCTGCGAAAGGATCACTGTCGACGTCTGACTCGGCAGACAGCAGCGAACTCGTGACCCGACTTACGAATGCGGCACAACCGTCCATCGATAAAGAGTGGGCGTCCCAAAAAACTCCTGCGCGGATTTTTTTTAATATGTTGGCATAAAAAAGTGATTTGCTACGAAGCACGTCGCGGCCAAAAATCCCGAACGACGACGTTGTCCGCCGTCCACGGACCCGTCGTCCAGCCGTATATTGCGAACGAGGATTCGCGCAGGGACGCCGACGGACCTGCGTCATCGCGAGACGTCCAAAAAATCTTATTATTTAGGGAAAAATAGAACTAGTAACAGAGATTCCATAGGTGATCCTGCGAATGGATCACTGTCGACGTCTGACTCGGCAGACAGCAGCGAACTCGTGACCCGTCTTACGAATGCCGTACAGCCGTCCATCGAGACAGAGTGGGTGTCCCAAAAAACTCCTGCGCGGATTTTTTTTTGATATGTAGGCATCAAAAAGTGATTTCCTGTGATGCACGTCGCTGCCGAAAATCCCGAACGACGACCTTGTCCGCCGTCCACGGACCTGTCGTCCAG